TTTTTTTTAGATTCTTTTAATTTTTTTCAGTTTCTTCTAGTTTCTTCTAGTTTTTCCAGTTTCTTCAAGTTTCTTCCAGTTCTTCCAGTTTCTTAAAGTTTCTTTCAAGATCCAGCTATTTTTTCCATGTCCTAAAGAACATGCTTTGGTTGTCATATTTAGTGTGTGAACTATAGAATGTCCTTAGTAAGACCGAATCATGCTACCAATGTGCGGCCCTGAAACAGTTCATTTAGCTTCAGAGTAATTTATTTTCCCTCTAATATTCCTCTTATTTTATTTCTCTCCCTAGTGTTTGGATTTCAAATGGACCCTAACTGCAAAGGGTAGGAGGATTTCTCATGGGGTCACAAAACCATTGAGGAAAGTGTTCATCAGTAGGGACATAGCTATCTTATGGGATGAATGTATCTTGACCCTTAGAGCCTTACTTGAATCCAATGTGGTAGACGTAGGACAAAGAACGGGTTGGGCTGGTAGCCCGTGGATGTTACTCGTATTTTAGTAGTGTTTCCATTGTGAGGAGTATTTTAATTGAGAATATAATGTGCATAATAATATTGCAACTTCACATAATGTTGTTGAATATATACATTAGCACTAAGCATGCCATTTACCATCTCTTTTGGCTTTCTCTTCTTTCTCTGCTCGTGATTTTATACCGCACTTCTCAGATATTTCTCAGGAATTTTGTTTCCATACTCTCCACATCTATCACACCTCAACCCATGATCTTATTGCTCATTCATACACAGATTATATTGAAAGGGACTATTGCTTAATCTGATAATAATAATAATAATAGTAATAATATAAACAAAAAATCTAGAAATAAATATTAAATAGAAGAATCATTCAAAGAAGGTTTTAAAAGGGTACAGAGTATAAATTACACCTACAGGTGCCTACCCTTAGGCCCTCCAAAAAAATAAAGATAAAAAGAAAGGCTCACAGATCTACTAGTAAATTAAACAGGACGGCTGGGATGAGCACGGCGGCGGGGGCAGACCTCCTTCCTTCTTGGGCTAGAGGGACCAAGAAGGATTTTCACTGTCCTTCACTCCCGTAGCCTCAGTCAATTGTCCCTTCCTAGTGAGCGGAGGACGCAAAGCCTACAACTAGTCAATTGTCCCTTCCCAGCAACCGGATGCATAGTAGATGACTTGATAGCCATGAGTAAAAAATGTTGGTGGTTTTGTCAATGCATACAAATGACCCCTGGGACGACGATATATAAGTGGGGATGTAACATGCATTGGGAGCTAGGTAGTCAAAGTGCTGCAGCATGATACATGTAAAGAAACCCAGTCTTATAAAATTCCTTAGCAATCTCCGCATGTAGATTATTGGCATGGAAAGGAGGGCCTTGACATTCCATAATATGAGACGCATCCAAAGATTGAATCCGACCATCTTCCCCAAATGCAACAACCACCTCGTCTGGCCTACATTGATGATGGAAGAAGTATTCATCGCAAATTTTGGCTGACTTGAATGGGTCTGCACGGCACACCGACCACCCCATTTCAAGGAACCAATCAGTATCACCATCAATGCCATCCATGCTCACAGTAACCACCACCACACTTGATGAATGCCCCTTTCCCTTAATTTCATTCTTATACCATGCCGCCAGTTTATCACCATCCTCATACCCCCACCATATTTTATTTTTTTTTTCAAAGACCTTCCCCCCTTTGTACATATAAAGAACAACAAAAGGCATCTTCTCAAGCACTTGTGCCAAAGGAACCTCCTCATCCATATTATTGAGCCTTTTAATTACATGTTGTTCCCAACAGGAATGTAGTAATGACTTCAATCTCAGTCCCATTTTCCTTTCGAACTCCTTCTCGATCAAATTCCTCCTGTTGAAGGGATAAGCGTCCACGCCGCCAAAGTCAGCCATGACTGGAAATCCGTATACATCCACATACTTTCTAACAGGATCCACAATGAAAAGGCCATCCTCCTGACTGTCACTTCGCATCCGACATAGCCTATGGCTCACAGTGTTGTCGAAAGGCAAAAACCACCAGCCTAGCAGCTTAACACTCTCAAGGGCTTCAATCATAAACTTCTCCATCAACTTTGGGGGCTCCATCCCAACAAAGGGAACACCCACCACCACAATCTCAAGCTCACACTCTTTCCCCCGCTTACAACATTCCTTGTAAACTGCCTCAAGCTCATATAAACTGCTACCATCAAAGCACACATAAATCCCCACAAACTTTCTTTTAAGTTCTGAAATTGTAATACCACGACGACCATCCTCCTCNCTTCAATCATAAACTTCTCCATCAACTTTGGGGGCTCCATCCCAACAAAGGGAACACCCACCACCACAATCTCAAGCTCACACTCTTTCCCCCGCTTACAACATTCCTTGTAAACTGCCTCAAGCTCATATAAACTGCTACCATCAAAGCACACATAAATCCCCACAAACTTTCTTTTAAGTTCTGAAATTGTAATACCACGACGACCATCCTCCTCCTCCTCCTCCTCCTCCAACCGATCTCCGCCAGCGTGATAATATCCAATGTTGTAGAGAACATCAGTGTCTCTAAGGCCCAAAAGCTCATTGAGGGAGTAGTGATCATGCCAACCACGTTCATGGCGTAAATAAGCACCCACTCTATCCGGAGTGAAGGGAAAAGCACCACCCTCAGCTCCTCCAACCCGACTAAACATCTTGGGCTGGCCATGGTAAAGCACCCTCTGAGATGGATCAAGAATCAAAGCTTTAGGCTGACCATCAAAACCAAGTACCGAGCAAATGTACTCACGGCGAAGATATTCACCGAAAGGGACAGCAAGGCAGGAAAAGCCCGAAAAGAAGTGTTCATAGGCAGAGAAGGAATGAGTGAAACCATTCCTCATCATTGGCACCACCACCAGCGCAAAATCGCCTCTTCTAGCGAGCTCGTGAGAAGCTAAAGATGTGTGATAAATCATGCGCGCATCGGCTGAAGACCATATTGAAGGAACAAACACGCAACAAATCATAACGTATTTACCCATCAGGTTTAAGGGGGTGCTTACCGCATAACTTCTGGATCTGTTGTTGGGCTGAATGCTAGGGTTAGGAATGTTTTGAGTACTGTAGAAACACAAGAGTTTATCACCGAGCAAGTCTAAAACATTCAATTGGTGGCCTACCAAGACAATAGGCGCATGTTTGAAGGCATGGGAATAAATGGGGTATTCGGTATCAAGATACTGTTTGCCAATCTCATTTTCCTCGTCTGTAATAGGTGCGCAAGGTTTGTGGATGTATGATCTCATGAACTTGAAGCAGGTGTTAAAGAAGGAATTTTTTAGACATTGTTGTCGATGCCTTGATACATTTGGAAAGGTTGTCTCCTCATCTGACAGCTTCACAGTTCGATCTACACAACAAACAAAATTTGAATCAAATCAAATACAACGAGATTGAACTAATAGAAAATGATTGAGTCTTTAATTTGATGGTTTAAATTAATAACCTGATGAAGCTATCTTTAACCTCGATACATTTGGAAAGGATGTCTTCTCCTCTAACAGCTTCACCTTCGGATCTACACAGAAAAAAATATTTTGAACGAAATCAGATCTAACGAGATCGAACTATTAGAAAATAACTCGTCTTTAATTGTTATGGTTTAAATTAATAACCTGATGAGGCTGTCTTAAACCTCGATCGGTCGTGACGATCCGTACGTTGAACATTCAACTCTCCACAACCATCATTCACATCTAGAGGATCGCCCCATCGCCTCTCCGCATCCATTCTTTTTCTCATCAGGCCTCTCTCTCTCTCTCCTGTTTTTTACGAGTATCATTGAAGGAGGACTCCTTATATTTCCATTGTTTTTGTTTTTGTTAGAGGTGAGCAAATACCGAACCGATACCGAAATTTTCCAAAAAAATCGAGATTACCGAATCAAAAATACCGAACCGAAAAAATACCGAGAAGGAACCGAACCATACCGAACCGAATGGTCGGTACGGTATTTGGGAACAGTACGAGGGGACGTCCCATACCGAAAATCCCGAACCGAACATATATATTAAAATATTATAAAAAATAATATCTCGGAGTAATATTTTTATATTCCTTCACTAAATAATACTCTGGGTAATTTTTAAAAAAATTGGTTCAAGTAAGTTTTTGTGTATGAACATAAAAGTATTCACAAAGATTTGAAATACTCCATGATTGTCGTTCATTTTTTAGTTTGTGAAATATAAACTAAGTTTTGACACACATCTTTTACATTTAAATATTCATTTTCATGTTTTTTTTAAATTCACTTTTTAATTTTCAAAAATAAAGGGGCATTGTTAAATTTTAACGTGTAAAGTAGGTATGTATATTCATCCCGATTTGTGCCGAAACTGATACCGAACCGTCCCAAACCATACCGAACGGATATTTCGGGATCGGGATCGGTACGGGGTAAAATCCCATACCGAACCGAAATACTTGGTATGGTACTGGTACGAGCTAAATACCGTACCATACCGTACCATGCTCACTCTAGTTTTTGTAAAACAGCTTTTTTGATGGTTTTAGATATGTTTAGTTGAGTTTGGTTTATTTTACGAATCTTTAAAGGGTGGGGGTCTAGTGACACCGAAATGCGGTGCCACTAACGGTGCCACTGACATTTTGGAGCACCTCCGGTGCTTCGTTCGCAAAATTGACGGTTCCTACTCCCCTAACCCACCCCCTAAACCCCCCACCCTACTCCCGCTCCTGCACCCCCACCCCAACCCCGCCGTAAGCCCCCACAAAATGTGTGGCTATTATGCAATAATAGCCACACATTTTGTGGGGGGCTTACGGCGGGGTTGGGGTGGGGGTGCAGGGGCGGGGTAGGGTTGGGGGTTTAGGGGGTGGGTTAGGGGGGGTAGGAACCGTCAATTTTACGAACGGAGCACCGGAGGTGTCCCAAAATGTCAGTGGCACCGGATTCCAATGTCACTGGAACCGGGCCGATCTTTAAAATCATAAAATCATTGTTTGGTTAATGATTTTCTCACTTTGCTTTTTGATTTGAAATGCCAAAATTTGAAAAGCAAAAGAGAGTAGCATTTGAAAAGAAAAAATGACCCAAATAGTGTAAAATAGAAATTTAGATAACAAATACTCTCGTCGTCCCCTAGTTTTTGTCTACTTTTGACTTTTGAAGTTGTTCATCTAAACACTTTGACTCATCAAATTCTCTCAACGTGTAAGCCTAAATATAGTCATGTGTGATCTTGTTTGATTTATGTTAACATATAGATTATTAATATATAATTTTTATAATTTTTTAATATACAAATTACAAGTTAAAATGGATTAGAGAAATGCATTGGATGGTGTGTAAAATTGAAACTGTACAAAAACTGGGGGACAGAGGCAGTAAAATCACCAATAATTGAAACACAACTAACAAAAAATTAAAACTTTTGAAAGTCACTTTATACATCTAACAAAAAATTATACTTTATTACTCAATTTTTTCTCTTTTTTATTTATTTCAAAAATTAATTTTGTTTTTCATTTCTCTAATTTTTATTAAAAAAATTGAAATTCAAAATAATTTAGAGAAAATGACTAAAATAGAAGTAAAACATAAAAAATATTAAAAAAAAGTTATACGTCTTTGTTCCAGAAATAGGGTTACAATGAAAATAAAATGTCAATCATTAAAATATAATTGCAAATATATTATTTTATGATAAATACTGCATAACCATAATAGCTTTTAAGTATTTAGCATATTGATATTTATGCTAATTTTATATTCTAAATAAAAAAATTCAAAAGTAATTTTTTTTTTAACGGAAATGCAAATATATTAAAATCCCTCAAGTCCAGTATAGAAAACAGAAAGCCAATAACCCAATACTACTACAACAATCAATCAACTACTTTTGCTCATAGAGAGCCATTATCCCGCTACTCCCTTGGCTCTCATATATGTTCCAACATGATAGATGACCCCTGGGTAACAACTTCAATTGGTATAAGTGAATCCTGATGCACTTTTTGATTTCGGGCTTGCCAAACATGATATACCGTTGCTGCTAGTATGGAATATAGCTTCCTCCTTTGCTTCCCCGGTTGGACTTTCTTTAGTTTGTCAGTCATTTATCCCCAATTGTTTCCTTCAAATTTGTATAAGCACCAGTCATATAGTTTATTATAGACATCAATTGTAAATGGGCAGCTGCAAAACAAGTGTTGTGTATCTTCAGGTGCTGTTTAACACAAGGAGCAGGCTGTATCAATTTGCAGAAACTTAGATAATCTGACTTTAGTTTGAAGTCTCTATCAAAAGTAGTTTTTTATGAAAAATAACAATATTTTTTTATTTTAAAGGTATTCATTAAAATAACATGATGACAACAACAACAACAACAACAACAATAATAATAATAATAATTTATAACAACAATAATTAGAATTAGAATAATATAAAACACACACACAAAAAATGGTTTTTTTAGATTTTCTATTTTTTTCTAGTTTTTTGAGATTCTTTTAATTTTTTCCAGTTTTTTATAGTTTGTTCTAGTTTCTTCTAATTTTTTATAATTTTTCCCGTTTTTTCCAAGACTCCGCTCTTTTTTCTCTGTCTTAAAGAACATGCTCTAGGTGGCATCATGCTGCCAATGTTCGGCTCTGAAACAATTCATTTAGCTTCAGGGTAATTTACTTCTCCTCCAATATTCCTCTTATTTTATTTCTTTCCCTAGTGTTTGGATTACATATGGACCCACACTGCGAAGGGCAGGAGGATTTCTCATGGAGTCATGAAACCATTGACGAAAGCATTCATCACGAGGGACATGACCGTCTTATGAGGTGAATCATAAATAAATTGTGCACACCCCTAGGTGAATGTAGGGTGTTCATTCGGTAAAACCGAACCGAACTAAACTGAAATTTTAGTTTACCAAAATTTCGGTAATTTATTTTTTATACCAAATACTGAACCAAAATCAAATGGTTCGGTTTGGTAAAAACCAAATTAATTCAGTTTGGTAATCGGTTTTACCAAAAACCGAACATTAACCAAAATGTGAACTTTAAAAAATTCATTTCATTCTCCAAATTGAAAATAACAAAGCATAATCCATTATATATAAGTCCATTACACACTCCAAAATTAAAATAAAGCAGCACAATTAGAACCATTACATAAATTAAACAAAATAGTTGATACAAATAATAGAATTGTCCATTCCGAAATATAAAAACATTTACCAGTATTATTAATTTGATGCTTTCATGAATTCCAATCTTAAATAACTCCAAATTTAGATAATAGGATTTAAAATTAGTGGGGTGGATATTCATTATTTCAATATTGGGATAGATATTGGGAATTGAATTGAGTAGCAATTGATAAAATTATACATAAGTATTAAATAATTTCGGTATTCGGTTTTTACCGAAATACCGATTCCAAATTTTGTACCGAATCAAAAACTGATTTTTTCAAAATATGAGGACCAGATACCGAGCCGAATTATTCAGTTCGGTTTCGGTATGTACCAAATTTTTCGGTTTCAGTTCGGTTCGTTCGGTTTATCAAATTGTGCACACCCCTAGGTGAATGTAGCTTGACCCTTACTTGAATCTAGGGATGGCAACGGGTCGGGTTCGGGTCGAATAGTACTATACCCGAACCCGGCCGATTTTTAAAACCGGAACCCGAAACCGACCCGAAACCCGACCTTTTAAGCTAAAAACCCGACCCGACCTGAACCCAACATTTCAACCCAAAACCCGAACCCGATCCGAACCTGACTTTTAACCAATAATCAATTCGACGTATCCCAATAATTTTGAAATGATTAAATCTAATTTTTTCATGTCTCTTTTTTATGTCTCATTTTTTATTAAGGTATTATAAAAATGATTATAAAAAGCATATGTGATATAGTAGCACTTTATCAAGAAATTATACGGAGTGCTTATTATATCCATAAATAAGCTTTTATGTAATAAAATATTCGAGTTTTAGTCGGGTCGGATGCGGGTGCGGGTCGGGTAAAATTATAAATCCACACCTGACTCGACCCAATGTCGGGTTCGGATAAAAAATTTCGGGTCAAGTTCGGATTATTTAATTCTCGGTTTGGGTTCGGATATTTTAGTGGTCGATCGGGTCGGTTAAACTTGGGTTCGGGTTGAATTGTCATCCCTACTTGAATCCAATGTGGTAGACGTAGGACAAAGAACGGGTTGGGCTGGTAGCCCGTGGATGTTAGGTCATGTTACTCGTATTTTAGTTTCCATTGTGAGGAGTATTTTAATTGAGAATATAATTTGCATAATAATATTGCAACTTCACATAATGTTGTTGAATATATCCATTATAACTAATCATGCCATTTAGGCCCCGTTCCGTTTAACTTATTTTTTCTTATTTTTTCTTATTCTTATTAAAATCGGATCAGATCAGACCAGATCAGATCATATCAGATCGAATCAGATCAGATCAGATCCAATCAGATCAGATCTAATCAGATCAGATCCAATCAGATCAAATCAGATCAGATCAGGACTTATTAAAATCAGATCCTTTCAAGAATTATTATTATTATTACTATTATTATTATTATTATTATTATTATTATTATTATTATTATTATCATCATCATCATCATCATCCTCATCATCATTATTATTATTATTGTTATTGTTATTAAAAATGAAAAAGAATAAACTTTAGAAATAGGTTAAAGAGAAAACTGAGAAAGTAATCCTTAATTATTAGACGTCGGAAAAATTAGTTTTAAAATACATTGAAAATGTCAATCTAATTCCACTTTTAAAATATATTTTTATTGCTACTTGTAATTTGAGTTTCTAAACTTTTGATCTTTTATAAGGATGAGATATTTTAATAAAAATAATATCTCTTCTATATATTGATTAGCTAAATTTAATTACTGTTTAATGTATATCTAAATTTAATATTTATTCTAATGTATAATTCTAATTTTACAAAAAAATAATCATAAAATAAAAATATTATTTCATTATAATATGAATGATTATTCTAATATATGAATTAAGTATTTTTATTTTATTAAAAAATAATCATTAAATAAAAAATATTGATTATATTATAATATGAATTATCATTACAATTTTCAAACGTTATTATAAAGTCAAATTAAAGTATTGATTTGAAATTTTAAATTAAATCATAATTAATCAGATTAGATCCAATCAGATCAGATCAGATCCAATCAGATCAGATCAGACCAGACCAGATCAGAACTTATTAGAATCAGATCAGATCAGAAAAAATAAGTTAAACGGAACGGAGCCTTAATCTCTTTTGGTTTTCTCTTCTTTCTCAGCTCGTGATTTTATACCGCACTTCTCACATATTTCTCAGGAATTTTGTATGCATACTCTCCGGCCACATCTATCACACCTAAACTCATGATCTTATTGCTCATTCATACACGGATTATATTGAAATACACCACCAACCTTTGGAATAATTCACTAAAAACTCCGCTTCTTTCATTTTTATGCTTTTATCAAAATATTTTTTAAATTAAAATGACTAACATATTTAAATAAAGTTATTACAATAAACTTTTTTCATTTTACATTGATATAAAAAGTTTTTTTAAAAGATTTGTTTCTTTTTTTTTTCAATGCCCATGATTTAATTAGAAAATCAAATTATTAGAATAAAATTTGCAAAAGTCTAAACAAAAACCATTTTAATGAACGGAGGAAATATCTTTTTTTCTTTACTTTTTAGAGTTTTTGTAGTTAACACGAACTCCACTAAATCTAATAAAATTATTTTTATTTTAATATACATTACAATTTGTGTTTAAACGAAATTTAAAGTATATTCAATTTTATTAAAAAAAACCGAACAAATAGAGTGAGATTGAAGAATCCAAGATGTGATTCATGAGTCCTTGAGATGTAGCAGGAGTAGACCTGACAAAAAGTTACCCGATCTATTTTTGACACGAAACCCGACCTAAAAATACTGGGTTTTGAACAAAAGTTTTGATAACCGAACCCGAAATGACCCGCTAAAAATGGGTCAAACCCGACCGAAATCGAACCCAACCTGACCGACCTGCTAAAGTAAGAATTTTTCAAAATTATACACTTTTTTACTCGGTTTTAGTGTATAAATTTATATTTTCAAACAAAATTTTAATGATATTACATAATTATCTTACTTTTTTCCAAAACTTATGCAATTTTAAATTTCTTATATTGATTTATATATCTAAAAACTACTTTATAGTTTAAAATAAAATAATTTTATAGATTTAATACTTTTTTTTTGATATTTTCAATTTATTTAATAGAAAATGTAAGTGTTAATGTGAATTTAAAAATTTAAAAAACCAAAGTCATAACTCGTTGGGTCAACCCGAACCCGATGACACTGGGTCATTAACATACAGTTTTCAACCCGAACCCGAAATAACCCAAACCCGAAATAACCCGAACTTGAAGTGACCTAACCCGAACCCGACCTGACCGACCGATTTGCCAGCTCTAAGCAGGAGGATTGGTTAGCCCAACAAAGGGCGTGATAAAAAAACTCATAATAGCCCAAATGAGTTTAAAATGCTTTTTTAAAACACGTCATTATCATTCACTCAGATTTGGTCATAGGCTGCCCTCAATCCAGTATAATGAATGTAATCGCTCCAGCCAGCCAGTTCATCCATGACCTCCTCTACAACTGGGAATGGGAATTGGGAAATTTGTCTTTGATACCTGCTTTATTAAGTTCCTTAGAGTGTTCACACAGTCTCCAAGAGCCATCATCCTTGTTGCTTACTAGCACAACCGGGGAAGCAAAGGGACTATTGCTTAATCTCATAATAATAATAATAATAATAATAATAATAATAATAAACAAAAAATCTAGAAATAAATATTAAATAGAAGCATCATTCAAAGAAGGTTTAAAAAGGGTACAGAGTATAAATTACACCTACAGGTGCCTACCCTTAGGCCCTCCAAAAAAAATAAAGATAAAAAGAAAGCAGGCTCACAGATTTACTAGTAAATCAAACAGGACGGCTGGGATGAGCACGGCTGCGGGGGCAGACCTCCTTCCCTCTTGGGCTAGAGGGACCGGATCTACTTACACCCTGGGTTAGGGTTTTTAGGGTTTTCAGATTTGGATTTCACTGTCCTTCACTCCCGTCGCCTCAGTCAATTGTCCCTTCCCAGCAACCGGATGCATAGTCGACGACTTGATAGCCATGAGTACAAAAATGTTGGTTGTTTTGTCAATGCAAACATGCCCCTGGGACGACGATATATAAGTGGGGATGTGTAACATGCATTGGGAGCTAGGTAGTCAAAGTGCTGCAGCATGATACATGTAATGAAACCCGGTCTTATAAAATTCCTTAGCAATCTCCGCGCGTAGATTATTGGCATGGAAAGGAGGGGCTTGACATTCCATGATATGAGACGCGTCCAAAGATTGAATCCGACCATCTTCCCAAAATGCAACAACCACCTCATCTGGCCTACATTGACGATGGAAGAAGTATTCATCGCGAATTTTGGCTGACTTGAATGGGTCTGCACGGCACACCGACCACCCCGTTTCAAGGAACCAATCAGTATCACCATCAATGCCATCCATGCTCACAGTAACCACCACCACACTTGATGAATGCCCCTTTCCCTTAATTTCATTCTTATACCATGCCGCCAGTTTATAACCAACCTCATACCCCCACCATTTTTTATTTTTTTTTCAAAGACCTTACCCCCTTTGTACATATAAAGAACAACAAAAGGCATCTTCTCAAGCACTTGTGCCAAAGGAACCTCCTCATCTGTATTATTGAGCCTTTTAATTACATGTTGTTCCCAACAGGAATGTAGTAATGACTTCAATCTCAGTCCCATTTTCCTTTCAAACTCCTTCTCGATCAAATTCCTCCTGTTGAAGGGATAAGCGTCCACGCCGCCAAAGTCAGCCATGACTGGAAATCCGTATACATCCACATACTTTCTAACAGGATCCACAATGAAAAGGCCATCCTCCTGACTGTCACTTCGCATCCGACATAGCCTATGGCTCACAGTGTTGTTGAAAGGCAAAAACCACCAGCCTAGCAGCTTAACACTCTCAAGAGCTTCAATCATAAACTTCTCCATCAACTTTGGGGGCTCCATCCCAACAAAGGGAACACCCACCACCACAATCTCAAGCTCACACTCTTTCCCCCGTTTACAACATTCCTTGTAAACCGCCTCAAGCTCATATAAACTGCTACCATCAAAGNAAGCACACATAAATCCCCACAAACTTTCTTTTAAGTTCTGAAATAGTAATACCACGACGACCATCCTCCTCCTCCTCCTCCAATTGATCACTGCCAGCGTGATAATATCCGATGTTGTAGAGAACATCAGTGTCTCTAAGGCCCAAAAGCTCATTGAGGGAGTAGTGATCATGCCAACCACGTTCATGGCATAAATAAGCACCCACTCTATCCGGAGTAAAGGGAAAAGCACCATCCTCAGCTCCTCCAACCCGACTAAACATCTCGGGCTGGCCATGGTAAAGCACCCTCTGAGATGGATCAAGAATCAAAGCTTTAGGCTGACCATCAAAACCAAGTACCGAGCAAATGTACTCACGGCGAAGATATTCACCGAAAGGGACAGCAAGGCAGGAAAAGCCTGAAAAGAAGTGTTCATAGGCAGAGAAGGAATGAGTGAAACCATTCCTCATCATTGGCACCACCACCAGCGCAAAATCGCCTCTTCTAGCGAGCTCGTGAGAAGCTAAAGATGTGTGATAAATCATGCGCGCATCGGCTGAAGACCATATCGAAGGAACAAACACGCAACAAATCATAACATATTTACCCATCAGGTTTAAGGGGGTGCTTACCGCATAACTTCTGGATCTGTTGTTGGGCTGAATGCTAGGATTAGGAATGTTTTGAGTCCTGGTACTGTAGAAACACAAGAGTTTATCACCTAGCAAGTCTAAAAGATTCAATTGGTGGCCTACCCAGACAATAGGCACATGTTTGAAGGCATGGTAATAAATGGGGTATTCAGTATCAAGATATTGTTTGCCAATCTCATTTTCTTCGTCTGAAATAGGTGCGGAAGGTTTGTGGATGTATGATCTCATGAACTGGAAGCAGGTGTTAAAGAAGGAATTTTTTAGACATTGTTGTCGATGCCTTGATACATTTGGAAAGGTTGTCTCCTCATCTGACAGCTTCACAGTTCGATCTACACAACAAACAAAATTTGAATCAAATCAAATACAACGAGATTGAACTAATAGAAAATGATTGAGTCTTTAATTTGATGGTTTAAATTAATAACCTGATGAAGCTATCTTTAACCTCGATACATTTGGAAAGGTTGTCTTCTCCTCTAACAGCTTCACCTTCGGATCTACACAGCAAAAAATATTTTGAATAAAATCAGATCTAAAGAGATCGAACTATTAGAAAATAAATCGTCTTTAATTTTTATGGTTTAAATTAGTAACCTGATGAGGCTATCTTTAAACTCGATACATTTGGAAAGGTTGTCTTCTCCTCTAACAGCTGCACCATCGGATCTACACAGCAAAAAATATTTTGAATGATATCAGATTCAACGAGATTGAACTATTAGAAAATGACTGAGTCTTTAATTTGATGGTTTAAATTAATAACCTGATGAAGCTATCTTAAACCTCGATCGGTCGTGACGATCCGAACGTTGAAAATTCAACTCTCCACAACCACCATTCACATCTAGAGGATCGCCCCATCGCCTCACCACATCCATTCTTTTTCTCTTCGATTCAGATCTAAAAATCCTAGCCTCAGGCTTCTCTCTCTCCTATTTTTTACGAGTATTTTTGAAGAGGACTCCGTATATTTCAACTGGGTATGGACTTGTTGGAGAACAGCTTTTGGATAGTTTTATGTACTCCCTTCGTCCTAAAACTTTTTTCTAAGAGTACTATTTCAAGTTCACGGGAATTTATATTTATTTGTGTTTTTTCATTGCCTATATGATAAAATAAAATATTCTTGCCACCACTTGTTTTGTTGAACTTTTGATGTAGTTTTTAAATATGTATGTTTTATTTTTTATTTTTATACCAATATTTAAATAAAATAGATTGAAAAAACTTGGGATTTTTCTTCAGTTTGCGCAACGGGAAGAAAGATATAGGACGGAGGGAGTATTTAGGAGTAGTCCTAGAGTATTTGTCCACTTTCATTTTTACACATCATTGAATATACTTTTTTAATCAATTTTATCTAGTAATTTGTATATTAACAAATTATAGAAATTATATATTAATAATCTATATGTTAAGACAAATCAAACAAGATCACACATGACTATATTTAGGCTTACATATTGAGAGAATTTGATGAGTCAAAGTGCTTAGATGAACAGTTCCAAAAGTCAAAACTAAACGAATATTCCAGGACGGATGTAGTATTACTTATCGAATCGTCAAAATCATTGTTTGTCTATGGCTTTTTTATTCGAAATGTCAAAATCTAAAAAACTAAAGGGGTAGCATTTGAACTTGGCTTTGAAAAAAATTATTTTTTAAATCATTTTTCTTGAAAGATATTTTATAATATATGTAAAGAAATAAAAGTAAAAGTTAAAAAATTCAAAAATTAAATGAAAATAAGTTTAAAATTTTAAAATTCCAAAAAAAAAGATATGAGAAAATCAAAAGTAAAAATCATTAAAAAGTTACGGAGTATATATTAATAATTTATTATGAATTATATGAAAATGAAATTTTATAGACCACATATTAACAATTTAATTTTTACATGTACAAAAATAAAAAAATATCGTGTGTGTGTCTATATATAAAAAATATCGTGTCTTGTTTTTAACTTGCTTCTCATCCAAACATTGATCCCTACCTGTAAGAGCACTGGTAATACTCATCACGCCCGTCGGCGTGAACGAGCGTTTAATGCCCCGGGGGCGTGAAACACCGCCTCCCTCCGGTGTTAAAGGGGTGTGATGTGTGCGTCAATGGAATGACGCTGCGTCATTCCTTTCCCCTCCCCCCTTAACGGTTATAATAGCTGTTGCACCCCCCAATTCAAACAAAAAATCTTATAAATTCAAACCCCCCCTCCCAAACTCTCACACCTTGTCCATCTTCAATCTCTTCTTCTTCCCAATTTTTAAAATTCGAAATTACCCCCTCTCTTTTCAATATGAATCCTTCCGGCTCCAGCTTTTTTTCTGATGATCTCCCGCCGAGTGACGCCGCAATGTGGTTGTACCAATAGTGGAGCGATCGACCGCCGATCTACGAGACGCAACAATCGGGATACATCGACCGAGATTCGGTTCCGGAGACTCAACCGGAACCGTCCGGATCGAAAAAAAGTACACGCCGGAAAAGCCACAAAGTCAAAAGCATGTTGACCGAGGCGGCACGGTCAATCCAAAAGTGGACGCCGGAGGAGGAGTGCATATTGGCGTCGGCTTGGGTTGACGTCTCCGAGCATCCTATCATTGGTAAAAAAATTATTTTTTCTAATATATTTATGTTTTTTATTTATATATATTATATTTATTAGTGTCTAAAAAAATTGTGTAATACATTTTTAAAGGTATGGAGCAAACGAAGGATGCGATGTGGGATCGTATCGAGAAGAAGTTCTTCACGACGATGAAGAAAAACGGCTCCTACCGAACCCGGGACCAACTCACTTCCAAATGGAGCCACATCAACAAAAAAGTCTGAAAGTTTATCGGAGTTTACGAGGAATGCTCCCGGTCCTAGAGGAGCAGCACGAACGACGCCGATGTTCTCTGGCTTGCCACGACCCGGTATCAAGACAACGGGCACCAAGGTAAGGTGTCCATCGATCTTTGGAGGATTTTGAGTCATTCCCCGAAGTGGCAACAACTCAACAATCCTGACGGCGGATCGTTCCGGAAAAGATCCACCGTCGTCGCCGAGGTTGAGGTCGATGAGACTATCGGTTCTACCGATCAAATCCCTTCCTTCAACGTTGCGGGTTCCGATGACGAGGACCCCATTCCACGGCCGATCGGAAGAAAGAAGGCAAAATCCATTGCCTCTGGTTCGGGAGGGTCCGCCTCTGTTTCCGCTTCTCCCCGCGACGAAATCGGCCGGGCAATGGTTGAACAACTTCGGGCGTTCAATCTCCAAGAACAAGAGAGGTTGAAGCTAAAGGAGAAGGAGTTGAAGCTAAAGGAGCAGGAGGCCGAGATGAAAGTCATGCAAACCGACCCCGGGATGTTGTCGGAGTTTGGACTAATGATCTACGAGCAAAGAATGAGAGAGATCAAGGGAAAATATAATTTACCTTAGTTTTTTTATTAATGTATCTTTTTTAAAATATTGTCGCTTTTTTATTTAATTAATGTATTTTTTTTATTATTCGTGTTCCAATTTAATTAAATAATAAATTAATTACATTTTATTAATTTAATTTTAGAAAATGTATATTAAAAATGTAAAAAATTAAGGTTTGAAGCCCCAGTTTGAAGCCACGGGGCTTCAAACCCATTTCCAGTGAATTTTGGGTGTAAGTTAAAGCTGACGTGACAGAGAGAAGGTTTGAAGCCCCGGTTTGAAGCCTCGGGGTTTCAAACGTATTTCCAGTGCTCTAAAAAGTAAAAACAATTGAGTATGGAAGTATCCTACGTTAGAACAAACTCATATACTAGCATTCATTAACATAAAATCATATAATATCGAAGAACCAACAAATATCGTTATCAAATATCATTATCAACTATTTATTTATTTATATCCAGTTTATGTTGTTCTTATACACTTAACCCTATAGGCTAAGGATTATATTCCTTTTGACTAGCTAAGTCATTGACACTCGTAGGGTGTAAACAGATAATAATCGAATTAGATGTGCCATTACCAAATCTATATCCGTTTATTTTTGTCAGATATTGAATACGGATACGAATCTTGATGGATACTGAAAATCAAAACTGTATCCGCATCTACCGGATATCGGATATATACGTATCTGTTTCTAATTTTTAAAATAAAAAATAAACAATACTCCGAGGTACTTTAATTTTAGATTAGATTAAAGTCAAACTATTATTAAATCAACTATAATTTGGTATGTGATAATTATTTTCTTTGTTTTCATTATTTATGATATTCTACGATAACTTCATATGATAAAAAGATATACACAACACACACATATACACATATTTTATATGTCTGTACATATTTTTATGTGTCTATACATTGATTTTGTATATAAAAATGTCTTATATTTTGAAATATCAATAGAGAAACAAAATATAAACATAAAAAATCAGGAAAAATTATATATAACAGATCAGATATTTGGATAAACGGTTATTTAAACGGATGCATATTCAGATCGGATTTTAAACGGATCGGATATATAATTACCAAATCCATATCCATTTAGTAATCAGATATGAATAAGATCCGTTTAAAACAGATGCAGATATTTCCTCTTTAAATGGATTCAGATGCGGACGTTAATCAGATTTTCGGCTATCCGTTGACAGCCCTAGACACTCGGACGGATCCCCTGAGGCCATGCTTACTAAACCCAAATCAAGAAAATTTTCAATGGGCGGGTTGGAGCCCCTATCAAAGAATCTCTAGGTATGCTAATGACCCTCGTACATACGTTTTTAACCCAAGACCTGTGAGTTAGGCGAAGCTCGCCCCACCAGACCTAAATCATAAATATTAATCTTTTGAATTTATTTTGACTTAGACCTTTCTAGGTATACCGAGTTGCCTATTTTTATACTTCAATTCAGCATGTAGTTATCACCGAATCTTTAGTTTTGTACATTTAGATTTAAAACCAAGTTAAAAACAAGGAAGGGCTAAATTGTAAATCACTTAAACAACATGGGCCAAATTTCTAAATTTTAAATCCCACCACTTAGTTCCCAATTTGGAATCCCCTCCTCAAACTTCAAATTGGGAACATATAAACATATTAGAAAGATATTTACTCAAAAATTGCAACATGTGAAATTGGCTTTAACCAAATTATCGATATTTAGAAACATTAGAAATATATTTACTCAAATCGTAATTTATATAAAAAAACAAAATGATTCTTTTAAACTTAAAACCTCATATTATTTAATGACTTGGACATCTACGTTATTTCATTGGTGAAATTGGTAGGTTATATCTCCCTTAATCTCTTCTTTTCATCGTGCACCCAGTCCCTCCCCCTAAATCATCAATTGATTGCCCATATCAACCATTTGAGGAGAGGGTCCACTTGGCGAATTAGAATTATAAACCATCAATTTCATTAATAAAACATCGTATGTGACTCGAGTCATATTATGACTCGAGATTTAAGGTCAAAACATCTCTATCCACTAAGGGGGTAATATTTATTTTATTTTTTATTCTCTCCGTCATAAAATAATTATATTACTTGCTTTTTTTGGTGTGTTCCAATATAAGTTTCACACTTCATTTAAACTGAAAATTGAATCATTCATATTATTTCTCTACCTTTGCATTATTAAGGAGACATCTACGTAAATTAGAATGTCTAGGTTCATTGTATCTACTTGTATTTATCTTGTGTTTATTCTTATCTTTATGGTGTAACTTCTCTATCTTTGTGCCTTGGGTTTAGCATAGCCAAGGCTTTCTCTCCTTGTACGTATGTGTGTATATATAAAGCTAAAGGCTTCCTCTTGATTAATATACAATATTTTATATCTATCATTACTCTTATATGGTATCAGAGCACTAATTTTTTTTTTCTAGCTCGATCCTTTCCTTCTCAGCCGATTCTCTGTTCCTCGGCATAAGCATGGCATACGCCATCAACAAGGATACACCTGTTCTCCAACTTCATGCCAAGACCCATTTTCCGATTAAACTCATCACCACAAATTTTCCGATCTGGCAGCGCCAGGTTCGCTCCACTCTTATTGGCCTTAATCTTCTGGGCTACATTGATGGGACACTCACGTCTCCCCCAACCACGGTTGACGGCTCCGCGAATCCGTGTTACTCCATCTGGTTTCGTCAAGACCAATCGATCGTCGGTGCCCTATTGGGTAGTTGTACCGACACCATCCAACCGCTCATTTCTAATGTTGAAACGGCTCGTGAAGCGTGGCTCAATCTTCACTCCAGTTTTGCGAGCGCGAGTCGCGGCCATATTTTAGCCCTCAAGTCTAAACTTGGGAAGAATCCGCGTGGTGCTCGTTCTATTAATGAGTATCTCCATGAAATGCACTCTCTTGCCAATGAGCTTGCGCTTAATCAAAGTCCAGTTGCGGAAGAGGATCTCGTGTCACATGTCCTCAATCAGCTTGGTCTAGAGTATGATCCTGTCGCATCTGCTGCCTTCATCCGTGGCTCCAAACTTCCATTTTCTGAACTTGGTGACGTTTTGCGTGATTTTGAACACAAATTAACCCTTACTGATGATGCAACTTCCACCGTGGTGGCCACTACCAATGCTACTCAACGCCATCCCTCTACTGGCACACATTGGCAGTGTTTCTGGTTCGTCGGCATCGTCCTCTCGGTCCTCTGGTAATCAACGTTTTTCTTCTGGGGGGTCCTTCAAGTCGTCCCGCCGTCATGATGGGTCCTCTCCAGCTTGCCATTTCTACTCCATTCCTGGGCATGACATTAAAGTTTGCCGTAAACTGGCTCGCCTTCTCCGTGAACATGGCATGCAGACGGTTTCTTCTTCGGCTCCTGCGGTGCACGCCACAACTCTTCCTGCTGATGGGATGACTTAGTGAATGTTTGACAGTGGTGCAAGTCACCACATTACTCCTGCGCCTCAGCATCTCCAATTGTTCGTTGACTATGGGGGTCCTGATGAGATTCGCTTGGGCAACAGTAAGAGTCTACCTATCTCTCATGTTGGTACTACTTCCATACCCACGTCCTCTGGGTCACTTTCTTTAACCAATGTCTTGTGTGTTCCTAAACTCTCCAAAAATCTAATGTCTGTTTCAAAATTGTGTCAATCTAATCATGTCTCTATTGAATTTTTTCCTTTGTCTTTTGTGGTTAAGGATCTGACAACGGGGGGCGCCTCTTCTTCACGGTAAAAATCATGGTGGTGTTTATTACGCTCTTCCTGTTCGTCCGCCGGAGGTGCATCATGTCGGTCTGTCCGATCTCCATCATGCTCTTGGGCACCCCTCGAATAAAGTCTTGTTAAACATGTTACCTTATTGTAATAAACAAGTGTCTAAACTTGATCTTGACACTTTTCATTGTTCTTCATGTTCCATTAATAAAAGTCATAAATTGCCTTTCTCAAATAATTCTCTTACCAGTACTGCTCCGTTACAACTCATTTATTCTGATGTATGGTCTTGCAATGATGTGTCTATTGATGGCTATAAATATTATGCTATCTTTGTTGATCATTTCACCAAGTATGTATGGCTCTATCCATTGCGCCGTAAATCTGAAGTTTCCGCTATCTTTCGAATATATAAAAGAGTGGTGGAAAAGTTTTTTAACAGGCACATCATCTCACTTTACTCCGACAATGGTGGAGAATATATTAAACTGCGTTCGTTTCTTGCGTCTCACGGGGTGTCTCACTTTACTACCCCACCTCACACCCCTGAGCATAATGGTACGTCTGAACGCAGGCACCATCATGTTGTTGAGACAGGTTTGTCGTTACTACATCATGCGTCCATGTCTCTTTCCTATTGGCCGTATGCGTTTCAAACCGCGGTCTATCTTATAAATCGCATGCCCACTCCTCTCCTCCAGAATCGTAGTCCATATCAGTGTTTTTTCCCAAGACCCGAGCTACCTCAAACTTCAACCGTTTGGGTGTATGTAAACTAGAATGTCTAGGTTCATTGTATCTACTTGTATTTATCTTGTGTTTATTCTTATCTCTATGGTGTAACTTCCCTATCTTTGTGCCTTGGGTTTAGCATAGCCAAGGCTTTCTCTCCTTGTACGTATGTGTGTATATATAAAACCAAAGGCTTCCTCTTGATTAATATACAAGATTTTATATCTATCATTACTCTTATATGCATAACTATCAAATTATGGTTTTATTTTTTCCATAAACTCCACAAAAGTTAAAGTGAAAGTTTTAATATGTGAGTAGGCTGTAAATGAATACCCGAAAATTCGATTACCACCCACATCCCTATCCGTTTATACGGAAAATATCTGCATTCGTTAAAAGGGGTTATTATCCGTATCCGATTAAGGATATTCGATTGTAAACGGATACGGATTTGGTAATCATGCATCTGATCTGTTTATAATCTACTCCGCATAGACATCCATTTAATTAATCGTTTATCTGTATACCTGATCCGTTATATATAATTTTCCTGATTTTTTTATTATTACTTTTTATTTTTTTATTGACATCTCAAATTATAAGATTTTATATGCAAAATATATGTGTAAACACATAAAAATACGTGTATACACATAAAAGTATGTGTGTATGTGTATTGTGTATCGTTTTACCATATGGAGTTGTCGTTGAATATTATAAATTATAGAAAAATAAGAAAAAAATAGTCCACAACAAATTTCAATTGAGTAAACAATATTTCGATTTTAATTTAATTGGAAATTAGAGTATTTTTCAATTTAACTTAAAATTTAGAAACAGATACGGATATATTTGATATCCGACTGAGATCTGACATATGCGGATACTGTTTTGATTTTTTAGTATCTGTCAAAATTCGTATCCAAATTTGATATCCGATAAATATAATCGGATACAGATATGATAATGGTACATCCGATCTGATTAATATCAATTTACACCCCTATATGTGAGATGAGGTACTTCTTAATCATTTCTTAATCAATTCTGATTAATATCAAATAAGGATACTAAATGTACTAATAATTTTTTTTCTAAAACTCACTAAGGGCAAGTGCCACCATTCCTAGGGCTCTCAACAAATAACCGAAATTTCATTTACCGTATGCATTCGTATCCGTTTAAAGAGGAAATATCTGCATCTGTTTTAAACAGATATTATCTGTATCCAATTAAAGATATCTGATTAGTAAATGGATATAGATTTGGTAATTGTATATCCGATGCGTTTAAAATCCGATCCAAATATGCATTCGTTTAAATAACCGTTTATCTGAATATCCGATCCGTTATATATTGTTTTTCCTAATTTTTTATGTTAATATTTTGTTTCTTTATTGATATTTCAAAATATAAGACATTTTTAAATACAAAATAAATGTGTAGACACATAAAAATATATACATACATATAAAAATATGTGTATATATGTGCTGTGTATATCTTTTTATCATATGAAGTTATCGTAGAATATCACAAATAATGAAAACAAAGAAAATAATTGTCCCATAACAAATTATAGTCGGTTTAATAATTGTTGGAGTTCCCACATCGGAAAATAAAGATGAGTATCACTTGCATATATTGAAGGGTGAAGCCCTACCTATCAGCTTAAGCTTTTGTTAAAATTCTGGCGGGCCGAGAACAACGGATAGAGTGTCGGGTAAAATTAACCACTTGCATATAAAGTCGGGATCCACAATTCTAACCCAAAAGCTTAAGCTGATAGGTAGGGTTTCACCCTTCAATATATGCAAGTGATTTTCTTCTTTACTTTCCGATGTGGGAACTCCAACACTCCCCCGCAAGTGGTAACTAGTCTGGCCTAGTTAGCACTTGGACAAACGGGTCTAGCATCTCAATCTCTTATAGCTAGCCCACACAACGGGCGGTGGCATCTCAATCTCTTTTTAGCCAACTCAGCCCAAACCACAGACGGGTAGCTCATTTTTGCTAAACCCACATCCAAACAACCAGGAACAATCAAACCCGGACCGGACCTGCTCTGATACCATGTTAAAATTCCGGTGGGCTGAGAACAACGGATAGAGTGTCTGGTAAAATTAACCACTTGCACATAAAGTCGGGATCCTCCAATTCTAACCCAAAAGCTTAAGCTGATAGGCAGGGCTTCACCCTTCAATATATGCAAGTGATACTCATCTTTATTTTCCGATGTGGGAACTCCAACAGTAACAAGCTTTTCCTCGAGCGTAGATCTAGCGCCAATCAGCATCTACACAAGATAATGCGCCCTTGACCTGTCATTCGGTGGGCTAATCGTGGATGGGTGCAAATTTCACCCTCAATCATGTTGTCCAGCGATTTAGCGCGATTCTCACTCCGTCATTAAGTTTCGAAGATGTCGGGGTAATATATCGAGATGGCTCTATGCTTGCCATTGCCTAGCATTGTGTCCATCAATCAAACCCTTGCAATCTAACTGTGCCAATCAAATGAGTTAATCCCTCGATTTGCTTCCAGTAATGGCCATGCCGAAGGAAAGAGGTGACCGGTCATTTCCCAAACATTCTACGCTTCTTCGAACACCAATTAATTTGTTGACCAGTCATATTTCACCTGTCACTTTTCACCTGGGATACCCTTTAGTTTCTATATATTTTGACTTTTAGGAGATAGGAGTATATATATTTGTGGTTAACTTTACAATTTTGACATTGATGTGATTGATAAAAGTAAAATATGATAGATACAAAAATGTACAAAAATGACCGGAGTATTATGAATGAAAAATATGATACGATAGATATAGTACAAAAATAGGAATAAATGTAGTTTTTAATAGAAATTAAAAATGTTTTAGGAAAAAACAAAAAAAATGAAATATTTTAAAAAAAAACATAGAGTACATATTTGTTTTAAAATGAATACTCCGTAATTGATAATGACACTTTCTCAATGTCATAAAAATTAGGGAGTAATAATATTAAAATAAAGTACACTTTGAATATTTTGAAGAGAATATTTTGTTTCTCTCAATTATTGAGATTTACGAAATTCTCAGTGTTTTAGAGCCTGCTTGGGAATAACGTTAGGGATTAGCATTAACGTTTTGGATAAAATTTTAACGGTACAATTTACTTTGAAAATGCTAACACTAAACGCTAGCCGTAGATAACTTTTTTAAAATGTTGACTCTAATTTTTAACCCTATTTTCAAACTGGCCCTTAGCCAACTCTATTTTTTTGTGCTTTTGCACGTTGTTCGATGGAGTGTGTGAAATTGTTAAAGTGGGGAACATGATTTTGACAATTTCGTCTGGTTGTGAATTTTTTCAGTAGGACCTCCCTTGTCAGTCTCTTCTAACAATGTGTTTCTAGTTTGATAAGTTTAAAAATAAGAAAGTGATAAATTGTTGTTGACTTTTAGTTTTGTCTTTGATGTGATAGATAAAAGTAAGATGTGATTGATAAATTATTAAAAAAATTATAGTATGATAAGTAGAGTATGAAAAAATAAAGATAAAAATAATTTTTTAATAAAAAATAAAGTGTTTTATTGAAAGTAAAAAATGTGTTTTTGAGTAAGGAGAAAATATGTAATTTGCCAATCTCTCTTGTAAATTTTTGGGACAAGCATTATTTATAGGATAGAAAAGTGATATTGTAAAGCACCTCCATTACTAGCATCTAATTACAATTTATAATCAAGAAATCGCTTTGGGTAAGAGTTTAACAAATACGGAGTATGAAAATACCAAAATAGAAATCGCTTTGGGTAGGAGTATAATGGTAGTATGATGTAAGAGTGTGCATTGACAATATGATAGAAAAACGATAATAGTGTAATATGTTACTGTGATTTGTCAATTGTCGGTTGTTCGAGGGGGCACTATAGTGGCCGGTGACGATGGATAGCAGCGTGGCGGTAATAGTGTAACATTTAAAATGTGACATTATCGTGAGTCTGACAGTGTAAACTTCTAGCTTGGTCTTAAAAGACTTATGACTCATTTTTTTTATTTTAATACTTCCTCCGTCCTGCTATATTCGTCCACTTTTGACTTTTGGAACTGTTCATCTAAGCACTTTGACTCATCAAATTCTCTCAATGTGTAAGCCTAAATATAGTCATGTGTGATCTTGTTTGATTTGTCTTAACATATATATTATTAATATATAATTTCTATAATTTTTTAATATACAAATTACAAGATAAAATAGAGTAAAGAAGTGTATTGGATGGTGTGTAAAAATGAAAGTGGACAAATCCTCTAAGACGGAGGTAGTAGTTTTTACTCAGAGCTCTCCCTTTAATATAATGATATGAATGGATGCACAGATGTATTTAAAACATTATACTCTCTTTTCATCCCTAAAAGACTGTCATAGTTTTACTTTTTTTGTCAAACTATGACATCATTTAACCACGAATTAGATATAGTTTAAATAGTTAAATATTAAAAAATTTGATGTATCGAACCTAAATTTTTAAATATATCCAATTTTACTAAATTTACATTATAACTAATTACATTTTTTTACGTGATTTGTAGTTAAAAAGTGTGTGTCATTGTTTGAGTAAAAGTTAAATCATGAAAATCTTTAAGAGACGAAGGAAAGAGAGGAGAAGATTTATTGGATATGAAGGGAAAATCAATTGTTCAAACCTTTAAACACTATCTATACATATGGTCACACCTTTAAAAATAAATAAAAATTATAAACGGTTTTTTTAACAACCCCTAAGCTCTAAAAAAAAAATAAAGAAACTAAATACTCTAAATTGAATTCTTTTTAGGGATATGTTAGGGGTACACCACTCCCCTTTCTACCATTCAATTTATTTTGTTTTTATTTTTTATTTTTTTATTTTTGAATTTTTCTTGCCTTTTTGTGTGGTGATGGAGGGGGTGGGGATGTTTTGAGGTACACTTTTGGTGTACCCCTAGCATTTTCCTTCTTTTCAACACACATCCCACCTTTTTTTACAGTATTAAAAGTTTTATTTAGTAATAATTTTTATGTTATTGAATTTATCTTTATATTAAATTGTTCTTAAAAAAACAAATTTGCTATAAGTTCTTCTCGAATTTAATTCTCCTAAAGATAAATTAATACGGAGCATTATTTTTAGATATTTAATAATTAATATTTTCCAGAATATTTTATTCATCTATTATGTTTTAGAAAATCTATTTTTATTTTATAATATAGTACAAAGTATGAGCTAACTATAGTTTTAATACATGATATTGGGTAGATAATCATGTTTGATTTTTTTTTTTTGTATTTCGCTATCTATTTTAGCATGGTGACATTTCAAATTTGACATTTAATTTACACATAGGCTAGAGTGCATCAAATATTCACAACATTTGCTTTTTCAACAGTGTCGGGAACTTTTGTTTATTTCGACTTTTTCATTGATTATTTGATAAAATAAAATATTCTTCACACATCTTATTTCGAACACCTTTTCATGTAGTTTTTTTATATGTAAATTTTATTTTTTATTTCTTTACCAATATGTAAATAAAATGAATTGAAAAAACTTGATATTTTACCTCGGGAATACAAATGTGGCAAATAATTTGGGACGGAGGGAGTATATCCCAAAGCTTGCTCACCACACAATTATAGTCTTGATAAAAAATTACTTTGTTGATTATAAATCTAATCTAACTATGATCGTGTTTGAAAAATAACTTTTTAGATAGCTTTTGACATCTTTGACTGACTTTGACTTTTTTGATTAAGTAAACAACCAAAATCATTGTTTGGTTAATGACTTTTTCACTTGACATTTCGATCTGAAAAGCCAAAATTTGAAAAGCCAAGGGAAGTAACAGTTTGACTTGGTTGCTAGGAAAATTATTTTTTTAAAATCACTTTTCTTGGAAGTTATTGTATAATACATGTAAAAAATAAAATTAAAATAAAAGTTAAAACAAATCAAAACTAAAATAAAATGAAATTTAAAAATTAAAATTTTCAAAAAAAAAGAGATGAGAAAATAAAAAGTAAAGATCATTAAAAAGTTGTATATTATAATTTATTATGAATTAAATGAAAATAAAATATAATTAGATCAGGCCAGATTAGATCAAATGCAATCAGATCAGATCAAAAAATTAAATTGGACGGAACAGAGTCCTAATGTCTTTAATCCACATGCATCAAATATCTGTATTTGTATGTGTTTCCTTGATGTACAAATAGGATACCTTATTTTGGTGCATAAAAAAAAGAGAAAAAAAGAGGAAGTTTGACGGGTTTGGTAAACTTAAAGGATTATGCTATTTGTACCTCAAGTTTTATATACCAATTTGTACCCCGCAGTTTTGCACCAACATTTTGTGTTGGTATAAAACTAATTTTTGTTAAACACACCAATATTTGTGTCCGTGTGAATTTTTATTAACGCACCAATACTTGTGTCGGTGTAAACCATCGAAATGTTTGTGCAAACCTGTGGTATATAAATGAGTATATTTTTTGGGTAAGTGTAGCCGTGTCCAAACTTAAAATACACCGTATTGAATTCATAAATCGACAGGATGTACTTGATACCTACTCTGTAACCTACTCAAACCCAGGCGACATAAAAGGAAAAATAAAAGGGGGAAAAAAAGAAAGCAAGATAGAGAAAAAAACAGTACGTAGATTTGGCTAATCGTCTCGCCTGAGCAGATCGCCGATGGAACACACGGTATGTCCGATCGATTGAAAATTCTTGAATATTTTATGCGTAATTGTGACGTTTCTGTATTTACTATATGAATTAAAAGGTTAAGAGATCTTAAACCGTAATGAATCAAATACTCCTGAATATAAGAGATCAGACGTTATATTAAAAGGAGCAGGATGGCTTTGATTCATTACGGTTTTAGATCTTAACCTTTTAATTCGTATAGTAAAAGGAGCGCTTATATATGAGATCAGCCGTTATATTCCTCCTGAATCCAAACATTCATAGTTGCCATCAGATCTAAGCTCAAAAAAGTATAATTAAGACATTAGATCTTGTGGGATCTGCGTTCTGCGTCACCGGAAAGTTGAGGGAGAGAGATCGACGGGGAGGTGATGAGAGAGAGAGAGGAGAGAGGGATGTTTGTTGAGTTTATCGCACCAATGTCACTTTAAGTTTGTTAGATGTACACCGTTACCCCCATGATTTCGAAACTTACATTATTGGTCTATGTGGTTCTGATATTTCTATGTTAATGTCTATATAGAAAGTATCCTTCAAATATTAGAACATGTGCAGGAGTGTTCGAGAGGGGGGTGTGGTGGGGTGGGGAGAGGGAGATGATTGTTGTGTTTATCGCACCAATGCCACCTAAAATTTGTTAAATGTAAATCGTTACCCCCTATGATTTCGAAATATACATTGTTGGCCCATGTGGTTCTAATATTCCTATGTTAATGTTTATATACAAAGTATCCTTCAAATATTAGAACGTGTGTAGGGGCGCTCCAAAGTCTTCCACGCTTCTACGTCAAACAATACTTCTTTTCTCGCGTGGTGCATTTTTGTATGTTATTTTTCATTTTTCTTCTCTTTTTTTCACGAATGTAATTTAAGTTCTTTTTAAAACTTTTTTTTATAAATGGTTTTAGTTCTTTTTTGAAACTATTTTCTACTTTGTAATGTTTTACAGAGTAATAATTAATTTTTTTGTGTTTGAAGTAAAAAAATTATTAAATAAAAAATCATTGAAATATTTTCATTATTTTGCTCTGAAGTTCATTTCATATTTTTGGTTTCTTTTTTCTCTCATCTTGATTTTTTAATTTAATTTTATAAAATTTCTTTTTTTTCATATAAATTAAAAATAAAAGTAAAAAGAATAAAAATTGGTATGAATATATAGTTAACCAAATACTCCCTCCGTCCCTGTATTTGTCCACACATGACTATATTTATGCTTACACATGGAGAAAATTTGATGAGTCAAAGTGCTTAGATGAACAGTTCCAAAAGTCAAATGTGGACAAATACAGGGGGACGGAGGGAGTATTAAAAAGAATTTACTTTGTATTCTTTTAGTCTCAACAGATTTAAAAACTAAGAACTTTTATTAGACAGAAACGAGAATCTTTAATTTGAGAAAAAATGAATTGTATTTTAATTTTTTTTATATTTCATTGTTATTTCAAACACAAGTAATTTACATTTTTAATTTTTTTTTTATATTTCATGGAATTTGTAAAACAAAATTGAATTATTATAGTTTTGTAAAACTACTTTTCATTAATTCAACACAAACATTTTTTCTTCTTTTTAAGAAAAAAGGAAAAATAATAAAGAAAAAAAGAGAGAAGAGTGTTGGTGCACACTTCTCAAATCATAGGTGTGCAATAAACTCCATGGTTGCTTGTTAGGAGTACGGCGGTACATGTTTTAATGAGTAGTTTTCGTGTTATAATACTTTCACTAAAGTTTTTTTCCAGATTATTTATTTCAATCAATGAAAATCTGTTGAAAAAGTGGATATACTTTGAATGCAAAAGATTATTTACCCCGTACATGTTTTTTGTTTAATTGAATGGACATGGGTAAATTTCATCAATGGTACCTGAACTTTAGCTGGAATTTCGAAGTGGTACCTAAACTTCAAATCTTTTCACAAAAATCCCTCACTAATGGTCCATTAGCCCGTTTCTAGGTCAACTTCCGGTCATTTGGGCCAAATTAAAATTTTATATATTTTAAAATTTTCGATTTGACCCCATTTCTTCTTCTCTTTTCTTTCGTGCCCCGCCGCCGCCGCCTGACGGTCAAAGTCGCCGGAAAATGAACTTGGTCGGATTCCGGCGGGACCATCGCCATGCTCTTCGTCTTGAGACGAGGATCAAGAATATCCAAACCATTTTGTCCAATTTGGCATGTAACTCCTCGAATCTGAATTTTTCCACCCGAAAAAACCCTAAAATTCGAAATTGGGTCCAAAATTGGGGGTTTTGCAAATCGTCATCAAATCTTGCAATTGAGGGGTCCTTGGAGGTCGCCGTGATGCCACGAACACATTGGAGTGGATTACCGCCGTCAATTTTGCCGGAGTTGGCCGGAAAACGCCCCGACCCACCGGAAACCGCCGTTGGGTCAAAGCTTTTTCCGGCTAAAATGTAGTAAAAATATGTTAGAATATATATAAATTTATTTATAAATTATAATATTCGAATAATTCGAATAATAAACGAATCAAATCCATTAATATTTGTATTCGAATTTGAAAATAATTTGAATCTAAAATATGATTTGTATTCGGATTCGAATTCGAATATAGCGAATACAAATCATCCTTTTCGAATACGAATTACGAATCGAATACATTTTATTTGATTTGTATGCACCCTTACTATCAAGCATGGTTTTAAAAGGCGTTCGAGGCGGACCGCCTCGAGGCGGTAAGGCGGTGAGGCGGGCCTTTTAAGCCTCAGAGGCGTAAGCCTTGGTAAGGGTATGTGAGGCGTACACTTTGCCTGGCCGAGGTGGTACGAGGCGGTTGAGGCGGTGAGGCGAAACTGAGGCGGTAGCCTCTATTCAAATTAAAAATTCAGCACCTATGGGTTAAATGATACTCCGTACAAAGGAATTGGGCCTTTAAAAAAATCTTGGGCATTAGATTTTTGTTAAAAACTTCTTACACTTGCTAAATTAGGATTTCTTTTGCTTGTACTTCTGCCTCTCCATTCTCAACCTAGCACAGTTCTCGCGCAGCACTTCAGCCTCTCCTAGAAGAAGTTGAAGTCGTGGGGGATAGGTGTTGCGTGGAAAACAAGGAAGCCAGAGAGGTAAAAGTATTGTATTAACGAAGTATAAGAAGAAATACCTGTTTTTAACGAAGTATAACTAATTAGTTCACCTTCTAATTTTTTCAAATTTTTTTTCCAACTTTAAATTTCTGTTTCTTTTCCCAGCATTACTCTCCCTATTCATCTATGGTTTTTGTTTAATTTGTATGAAGGTCGCTTAACTACAAATTTCATTGTATTATGTAGTGGAAATAAACTTGTCTAATTTTGGTTATGAAGTAGATTAAAAAATCATGAAACTTTATACATTTTATCATGTTTGAAAACAGATTTGAGGCATTTGTGACTTTGTGTTTTATGTTATTGTTTAAATTTGTTAGAGTAATTCTCTCTTCTTTTTTGTATTTTAAAAACTATGAGAGGGTATTACTTTTTGCAAAAATCAGGAATTGATGCCTTTAGATTTCAGCATCATGATTATGGATTATGTTTTCTGTAATTACCATGGAGTATTCATTTTAGCATTGTTTTTTTCAAACTGAACTGAGGCTTACGCCTCGTTCCGCCTCGAGGCTTACGCCTCAAGGCATTTTTCTCCACCGCCTCGAGGCTCGTTTTTGCCTTTCAAAACCTTGCTACCAAGAAGCGCTCTTTTAACGTCATTCGCTTGACAATTTTGTTTTTAAAAGAAATTCCTTTAGGTGCTTCCCTAGGAAAATACCTTTGAAGCGTTTGAAGTTGGGAAGCCAAAATAACTTCAATTGCTTCCCAAGAAACACCCCCTTTGGTTTTGAAAAGGTAGTGAACATGGGGGTGATGATCGGGAGAGTAAAGGATTGATCAAATGAAACATAAATCCTCTTGAATCAGTGAGCAATGCGGGAGAAAGTGTTCTCCCGCCTCAAATGGAAAGTCTAGCCAATGAGGATGCATATCAATGTAAGTATTGCTAGGCTTGTATTTAAAAGAAGTGGTAGAGAAGTGCAAACCAAAGGTTGGAGGATATGGAAGCTCCGGCCTCTCGAAGGCATGTGATGAATCTACGCCCAAGCCTCCCTTGATCATCAAGGGGTGGAGGTTTGGGTTCATAACTAATTGGCTCATCCATGATCTCACCCAATTTGGTCTCTTCCACCAGCTCACACTGAATGTCGTTCTCTTCCTCTTCTTTGGATAGTGTGGCACCTAACACCACCGACTCCTTACCTTTGTCAATGATAATCTCCAAGTACTCCTCCACCGGTGTAACTTCCTCTCTAGATCCCACTACCTCTCCACTTTGATAAGGATTGCAAGGGAATGTTTGGGAAGAGTAGTAAGGATAAGAGGCAAGGTAATATGGGTTTGGCGTAGGATAAGCTTTAGGCCAACCAACATATTGTACATTGAAGTAAGGAGGATGACATGGTAAAATTGGAAGGTTTATGGGTAAAGAAGGAGGTGATGATGTAGGGTAAGAAATAGGATATGGAACTTTAGGTTGAGGTAGGGAAGCTTGTGAAGCTAAAGAAATTACCAGGTGGATGGGAATATATTCAGTCACTAAGTGACCACTCAAATATGGGAGTAGTGGGATCAAGAGCAAGACTTTGAACATAGAGTTCATGCTCCAAACGAAGCTCTTCAATGATGGAATCAATATCCTCCATGATTGCACACCTACAAAGAGAAGACAAAAAACAAGAAAAACAAATGCAAGCAAATAACAAAAAAAGAATGGCCTTGTCTCCACTAACAACTTTCAAGTAATGTTAGCTAACACAAAGCACTCAAAACTGTTGCTATCCCCAGCAACGACGCCAGTTTTTATGCGAAGAATTTTTTGATACGTCATTTGATAGCAAAACCCTCAATCAAAAAGAGATGTGATATGAAGTGAAATAGAAATGTGGAAAACATAAATAGAATGAGTATAGTGGTGGAAATAAGGGATGTCGAGTCCACAGGGATAGCGTGATTGGTTGGGAATCAAGTGCAAAGTGCAATTAAATACTAATATCAAATTGTTAAACGTGAATCAAGCATCAATAAAAATATTCCCAATCAAGAGCTCTCCATCAAGCAAAATCAGCACAACACAAAGAACACTTTTCTGGTAAGGAAGTGGGTAATATGGATAAGTGAGGGTCATGGTGGAAATGGGGAATGGAGTGAAATTGTATTTGTGCCTCAATCACTTTGTGCCTCAAGGTGTGGGTGTGTGCACAATGTAGCTCTTACACTCATGGGTCAAAACGATGATTCTCAATAGATTTCACGACACAATGAAACATCCAAGAAACACTCTTGAATGTGTCAAAGCCAATATTCACAAGTATATGCAAGATTCACCACATGACATAAACTAAACATAAGCTAGCACACAAGCCCAAAGACAAAAGTCTTGACTACTCAAATATTTGACTAATCCTACCACCCTTTGTACACGAAATATTTAAAGATATAGCCAATCATCTTCATTAAAGCCTGAGTTCCAAAGTCCACCGGTGTCTTCTAACTTGTAGCTTTGTTGGAGGTGATTGTAGAGGATTAGAGGCCTGATTTCAGACAAAAGCATATATTTGTCTTTCTTCACCCCTACTATTTTGGGCTTTGCACCTAATAGTTGAGTCAACTTTTTAAAGAACTCTGAGGCCTTCACTTTCTTCCATCCCTTGTCTATTTCTTTTGAGCCAAGGTCTTCAATGCCCTTATGCTCTGAATCTAGCATTTCATCTGGATGAAAACATTGTTAGTTGGAAAATTTATAATTTATCTAGTTTTCTATATAAAAACAACATTCGAGGAAATATCATGTCAGGGTGGGTCCAGTTTGTAACATTCCGGAAATCTACTAAGAATGTTACCATATCATTACTATTTAGATAGGTTCAATATGATTTGATTATTAACTAGGAATTGATTTTACAGTACCCCTTTAGAATGAAACAATATAATGTTATACTATTGCTAACTGTATATATTTTACTAAGTATATTCTTATACTATTAAATGTATAATGCTAGCTAAACACAAAGGATTAATTGATTAAAACAACACCCCTAACTCCCTAGGTATGACAAACCATGAAAAAGGAAAAAATATCAACTTAAAATCATAAAACACATGATTGTAAATTTTAAATACTTCATTTGTAGGGGTTCTCATGACATTGAAAACCCATGTCATGGGATGATCCGGGGACACTTTGGTGTCTCATTTGTAAAATTGATAGTTTGTACTCCCTAGTAAGCCCTCCACCCTATGTCGGACCGAACACCCCCACCTTCTTCAATTGTACCTAAGTTAAATTTGACTTTGGGGTCAATTTTTGACTCCAAAGTCGTGCAATTGAAGAGAAAATTGACTCCAAATAACTCGGCGGTGCAATTGAAGAGGTGCGTTCAGGTTGGAACGTTGGAACATGGTTGGGAGGGGGGGTTTACCGGGGGTAGGAGCTGTCAATTTTATGAACGAGACACTGGAGCACTCTTGAATCATCCCATTCCATTACCAAACAATGTCATGAGAACCACCTTGTCATTTAGGGGTTCACATGATATTAGAACCCCATGTTATGGGATGAGATATGAGTGCTTTTGTGTCTTGTTCGTAAAATTAATGGTTCCTACCCCCTAACTCTCATGATAAACCCTACCACCCCGCCCTGACTCGAACACCCCCCCACTCCCTTCAATTGCACCCCCAAGTTAATTTTGACTTTGGGCGTGCAATTGAAGGGGGTGAGGTGAGGGTGGGGCAGGGTGGCGGGGTTTATCCAGAGAGTTAGGGATACGATTCGTTAATTTTACGAATGGGATACTGGAGTATCCTCAAATTATCCCATAACATTGGCGGACAATATCACGGGAACTTTCTCACACTTCAGTTACAAATTTCAAAACATGCCACATATGCACACAATGCTTAGACCTCTACAATCAAAATCATATGCTTAGAGTCCTGAGATAGTAAGGTAGTAAGACCTTGAAAGTTTCAATTTTATTGATAGAAACAATGTGACAATAGGAAATAGTTTCTTGGTCATAAAAATGAGACAACAATTCAAAACAGTGAAAACACCCAAAAGTGCAAACAAATTCCCTAACAAGTAAAACAAGCTACCTTTTGAGAGGTAGCTACTTTCACCATTTAGCTTTTGATATAAAGATTGAAACATACTCTTTATAAAATAATGTGCTCAAGATAAAAAATATACTAAAATCATTAAGCCTAATAATTGAATTGCTAACAAAGCTTAAAAAGTAATTACTAAAGAAGAGTTTGGGTTGAAGAAAAAAAGACTTACATGCTTGAATTACTTTCTCCTGTATGTTTAGATCATTGTATGCTTGGATCCCTATGGAGATGTACTCTCCAAAGGGATATTCTTGGAATGTGCCATGCATGGACCAGACATCTATCATGTGTTCCTTGTCGCTACGAAAAGTTAACGATTTCCACGGCCGCGTCGCATTTGAAAACATGGGATCCTCCCAGTTCACTTCTATTTTAGAGTCTTGTCCACAGTCATACTCAGGATTGGCCCAAACTCCATGAATCGCCCATTCTGCTGCGTCTAGGTCATTTCTTAAAAATTTCTTATGCACATACCAATAAGAGTGCACGTACTGTATGAAAGAAAGATTGATTAGCCCACATGATAGGTATTTCTAACTTTTTCTCACATGTCAAATCATATTAGCGTTTTAGATGTATGCATACACAAAATGTTCTAAGTAGAACAAATTATGGGTTCAGGAATTAGATGTACACTTGAAAGAGTTGAAACCAATCATGCATATTTTCGATTGAAAAATTAATCATTTTTTGTTATTTGGCACAAAAGATAAAGAAGTCCATTTTGTTTATGGTAACCTATTTCACTTTTGTGGAGTTCTTACATAATATTTGCTCAAAGATGATTGTTTGCTAAACAATAAACAAAAAAACATCATCAGAGTAAAGAAAGTTACAAGTCAAGCATTTGACAGATGAGGAATACATTATTTAAATCATAATGCTCTTTGAGTCATTGTAGTGTACCTAATTGTGTAGTTAAATATATCAATGTTTTATGTTTTCCTACAAGAAGCACTACACATGAAAATGAGGCAGCACCAACCAACCAAACTATATGCACCTAGTTACATACCTGAAGTGCCACCCAAAACCTCCTGTAATCTGGCAAGTGATTTGGTGTTGGAGCAGTAGGTGACATCCCGTGGAACGAAGCAGCAGGTGACATCCCGTGGAACGAAGCAGCAGGTGGCATCTCGTGGAACGAGGCAGCAGGTGGCATCTCGTGGAACGAAGCAACAGGTGGCATCTCATGGAACGAAGCAGCAGGTGACATCCCGTGGAACGAAGCAGCAGGTGACATCCCGTGGAACGGAGCAGCATGTGGCATCTCGTGGAACGAAGCAGCAGGTGACATCCTGTGGAACGGGGCAGTAGGCGGCATCCCTTGGAACGAAGCAGTAGGCTGCATCCCGTGGAACTGGGCAGTAGGTGGCATCCCTTGGAACGGAGCAGTAGGTTGCATCCCGTGGAACTGGGCAGTAGGTGGCATCCCTTGGAACGGAGCAGTAGGTTGCATCATGTAGAACGAATCGGGAGTCGGCATCCCGTGAAACGCAGCAGCAGACGTCATCCCGGAGAAGTGAGGCTGAGGTGGCACTATGTCATTGTATTGTGGAGGCTGCTGCATCATCATACTGTACTGGGGTGGAGGCACCATCTCATTATACTGTGGAGGCACCATCTCATTATGCTGTGGAGGCACCATCTCATTATGCTGTGGAGGCACCATCTCATAGTAATACCTCACCCCATTCACTTCATAGGAAAAAACATTATTGAAACTCATACTGGCACTCTTTTCCTGCACAACCAAATGAACAAAATATCGGCAATAGAACAACAGTGGAGCAAGATTCAAGATTCCCCATTCACTTCATAGAAAAAAACATTATTGAAACTCATACTGGCACTCTACCAAATGAACAAAATATCGGCAATAGAACAACAGTGGAGCAAGATTCAAGACTCGATTTTTAATCATAGATCTAAACAACTCACGCAATAGTTGATACAAGACGAAACCCCAGCTCGGGAATAGTTGATAAAGCTCAGGGAAGACTGAAATGTAGCAGAGAAGAGGAAAAATACCTGGATTATTGGATATGGAGGAAAGGGGCGAAATGTCAGAATAGGATTTTGGAGCTTAGTAGAGCAGCGGAAGAGACAACTCTCCAAATATTTGAAATCCCTCCGCCCAAAATACAATTCTTTTTTTTCAAGTAGTATTTGTTTTTTTCTTTCTTTTTTTAAAATAAACAGGTGTATGAGTGCTTGAATAATTCCATGGTTATCTCTTGCTTTAATTTTCATGTAGTAAAAATTATGGTGCTTCTCAAATGGGTTTAGATTTTGGATTTGACTATCAAACCAAATGTTTGCAAGAATATTTTTACTCGTATTTGTTTAGATTGTGAAATAAAAATTTATTGAAGGCTAGTTTAACCATTTATCAGTTCGATATTTTTAAGGAAAAATTACTCAAAATAATCCCAACTTTACTCGGTCTTTCAAAAATAATCTCACTTTTCACTCTGATGCATAATAATCCCAACTTTATTGAAATTTGCCAGTTTTGGATCGTCGTAAGTTTCTAACGGAGGGTTAACGGAAATGCCCGTTTTAGGCAACAAAATGAAAGTTGGGATTATTTTTGATGAATTTTTGTTTTTTTAATTTTTTTTGAAATTTTTATTTAAATTTTTTGAATTACTTTCAACCTCCATTTCTTTTTCTTTTTTAAATATTAGTCTTACCTTAGAAAAAAAGATATAAAAAATAATGAAAATGAGAAAAATAACTAAAACCATACAAAATTAATCAAATAAATAATGTAATCAATAGAAACTAAACAGAAACTGGTAAGAAAATAAAATAAATATATACGGAGTGGTGGGTTTTAACATTTTACACACTATACGGAGTTTTAATGTTCTACTTATTTTTTAAAAGAACAAGCCGTCCGGTAAAGTTGGAATTATTGTAGATAATTTTTTTCTAAAAAATAAGAAGTGATATGTTAATACTTTGTATAATGCGTAAAATATTAAAACCCACCCGTATATTTTTATTTTACTTTTACCAATTTAAAGTTAGTTTCCATTGATTACCTTATTTATTATATTATCCTTGTATCATTTTAGACATTTCTCATTTTTTCATTTATATCTATTATTTTTATTTTTTAAACTAAGACTAATCTTTAAAAAAGGAAAAAGAAATGATGATGGAGGTAGAAAGTAATTTAAAAAATTTAAATGAAAAATTTAAAAAAATAAAAAAAATGAAAATTCATCAAAAATAATCTCAACTTTCATTTTGTTGCCTAAAACGGGCATTTCCGTTAACCCTCCGTTAGAAACTTAACGGCGACCCAAAACTGGCAAATTTCAGTAAAGTTGGGATTATTATGCATCACAGTGAAAGGTGGGATTATTTTTGAAAGACCGAGTAAAGTTGGGATTATTTTGGGTAATTTTTCCTATTTTTAAAGAATCCATATTGTACGGTTTTGGTTTTATGCCTAAACCCACTCTGTATCATGTTGTTCGATAATGGGATGTTTAACCATTTCATAATTTCTTAACATGAGTATTGCTTAGTTAAAAAAAATTTAAAAAAACTTTATCATAGTTTGCATTTTCAACAAATAAATTAAAATTCCAGTTGGATTTTGAGATGATAAAGTATTACAAATGAAAATTAGCAAGTGAAAATGTATCATTAAATTATTAATTCAATACTTTAGTGGCAACAACTTGGTTCGGTATTTTCGGTATTTATTTTTTGAAAACTTGTTCCGTACCATTTTGAAAAAGTTCAATTTGACATATAATTTACAAGAACCATTTGAAAACCTCTTTTTGATTCGGTACGAAATTGGGCCAATATTTTTTTCCACCTTTAGTTTAACCCAATAATATAATTAATACTTATAATAAGTAAAATGGTAAGGCATCACACATGAATGAATTATATTTTACAAGCATTTTTCACATCTTTTAACAAATTTTAAAGATTTGAGTAATTGTCATTCAAGAACAAGTAGACTAAGGGGTGTGGGTTTGAGGGACGAATGAGAACGATAAGAGCCACATTAGGTCAAATGAAGATTAATAGAAGTCTCAAATTGATCAATGTCATAATATGATAGACCATTACTATAAGAATAACCTACACAATAATATCAATAGATATTTACACAAATGAAGGAATCGAAAATGAACAAAGAATTGGCTGTTATTATACATATATCAGGTGGCTATATGTTAGTGGTCACTAGTCCCACAAATCTGGGGTCATACTATAGTCACACCACATTTGACAACGCCAGTGTCTCACACAATGATTGTGTGTGCATGATTGTCTCTAGTGGTGTATGTTAAACTGTTAAAGTAGCATTTTCCTGCAAATTTTTTTCTTACAATTCTTAGTTTTCTTTTCCTAGTCTGGCTTGGTATACTCCAACAACATGTGGGGTGACCTGTAAATCTTAACCAGTGTCCAGTACAGAACCTCCTCAACTCCAAGCTCACCCTCGGCTCTCGCAGCATAGATGTCCTCACAAATGGCAATCAATCTGCCAAACATGTTCCACGGTTAAAAAAAAAAGCAGTTAAATTTCAAAATATAACGTTTTTTGGGTCCTAATTCCCTCGTTTTCCCACCTGTCGCATGAAGGGAGATTTTCGTATGGGATTCTCATCCGCAAGTCAGAGCACTGAAGCCTAATGAAGCGCCCAACTGCTAGCACAAATGTAATGTAGAGACCCCAAATGCTGAATTTGCTAAGTGTGTCTCCCAGCAAGCCCTCTTTCATACATTTGACATTAAACATTTGTTATCGACAAGGTTTAACAAATAATCCGTTTCTACACATAATTTTATGTAAGTTCATGTGGTAAAACTAATTGATTAAGTATACTCACGGGGAGTTTCTTCAGATACGATGATGGCCATGGGACCCATCCACCCTCCGCAACCACTTATATCCATTGAATTCGTATCATGGAAGGACCACCAATCAGAAACTCCGCGATTCAAAACAATATCAGCGCTGACATCATTTTCCTGCAAAAAATGCAAGAACCCAGATTTATATAAGCTCAAATTATTGTAATATGCTGTCGAAATCTAAACCATACCTGTTTCTCAAAAGGCCTAACGTCTCCAGAGCCAGTCACTCTAAAGAATCTTGGATAGATGTTTTCAACTCTAAAGCTACTGGTGGAACCATTTATGGCTCTCTCAACTTCCAATGGCTGTGGAGGATCAGCAGTTATGTCATATTTCACAACTTCCTTCCCCTTTGGCCTGTCTCTAGTGAGAACCCAAGAAAACTTAATCTCCATACGGCTGTTGAAAGACTGAACAAACCTCCTCTGGACCACATCAGGGACAAGCCACATGGCAGAAGAGTCGGCTTGACAGCAAATCAACTGGATGTCATACACATTGTATGCATCAAGACCGCCATCCGGATCAAGATTGTTAGACGAGTTCTTGAGAAACTCCCATGGGATTCTTTCACATAGGGCTGTTTGATATAGTGTCAACCTTCCACCATCAGTCTTGATATCCAACTGGACACTGGCATCGTTCACAGGATTCGCAATGTTTGTTGGATTACCACTGCTATACATCTAGATGGTGAAGATATTGTCTATTAATAACAACCCAAGGCGACAAGATCAAAACTTTCTACGGAAGGAACTTACCAGCATGGGAGTCCAGATGACACATATTAAGACGAAGAACAAGCAAATTCCATTGCAGAACTTAGTCATCTTGCTCTGCTTCTCTCCCTGTTTATGTGTTGCTCTATTCAGAAAAGCATCACATTTGACCAGATACAAGCTTGCATTGATGTCTTCTAGCTATACAAAGATATCCAAACATCAGCATCATGGATTTCAACACTACTTATTATGCAGCGTGAACCCGAACTTTAAATACTCAGTGGAAAGTACACAGATAAAAGCACTGAGATATTCACTGAGGAATTGCTTCGATGGAGGGTTTTGGATGTCTTTGTCCATATCTTGATATACAATTGGGATTTTTTAAAAATTGAAAGATTAACATATTTTGTGATCTTATTAGTTACCCTGTAGTATTACATTTCAAACACCTTTTATTTTTTTTAGATACATTTCAATAGACCTCCAAAGTACTCCTCTCCGAAAGACCGAAACCCTCCATCCAGACTACCCTAAGGGGATGAAGGCTCTTGGATGGCTTAGCAAATAACTTGATAGACTTTGAGATTTTGTTAAAAAAAACGAAAGAAAAATATATAGTTAATCATAAAACATTTTGATGATGCTTTAATTGTTTTCAGATTTAGAAGCATTCCATTCATTACGATATATACAAAGCTCTCCAAAGCCTTCCTTCAAAGTATATACATTAAAGATAACAATATAACATACAAGCATGTTTCATTATTTATTTTCTTTTTGTGAAGAGGAGTTCACCTTTAGCCAGTCATACATGGTCAATGACGTTGTAGTGCACGACCAGTCAAGCACACATCTAAGTTCATAGAGGAATGGGAGTGCACGATAAAGCCGGTAGCCAATATAATTAACTCTTGAAGTTGTGCTGGTTAGAAACTGGCGATACAACGTGCTTTTATGGGGAATACCATAACGGATTTGGATAGCTTGTAAAGCCAAAGAAACTGCTTTGGTGAGATATATTGCACGAAGGGCAAATCCGGCAGCACTCTGTTGTGAAGAATCTGTGCTCCAAGCGTATTCCGTAACAAAAAACGTGAAAAGAATGAGATTAAATATGTAGAAAATCACTTTCCCCGAGGTGAACGAAGAAAGGTATATGACACGATCAACCATCATCAAGAAGAAGATAACCTGCATTAGGAATAAATAAACCAATAATTACATGNCGGGTGATGGGGCTAGGGTGTAGTGGGCGTGGGCGGGGTAGGGAGGGGGTGTGGGGCGTGGGCCTAGGAGAGCCGGGTTAGGGTTGGGGTAGGGTGAGTTCCAGGTATTATTGGCGTCGTGAGGTTGTCGTTGCCTTGAGCCATTTTGACATCCGCGACCTCGACCCCGATTCCCGCTGCCACGTCCTTGTCCTCGTCCGTAGCCTCCACGCTGTCCGGGGTTGCCTTCACCGTAGATGGAGCCACCATGTTGTCCGCCATAGCTGCCGGAAGTACCGCCGTGAGTGCCGCCGGCGCGGTTGGTGAGTAGGGCCGTGGAGCCCGAGTCGGCCAAGGTGGTCCGTTGCCGATCCAGAAACATGAGAGCCGAGCGGACTTGCAGGAACGTTGGCATGGGATCTTGAAATTGCATGAAGGACGTTTGGGCCTGAAGATCCGCAGGAAGCCCCCGAAGCATTTGGAGAACAAGCTGGTGTTGAGAGACAGGAGCATCAACATCATCGAGCCAATCGGCGAGATTCTGAAGCTGTTGGCAATATGCTGCCATGGTAGAGTTTCCCTTAATGGTAGTACGGAATTCGTGCTCTAGTTGCATGGCACGAGCATGTTTGTTGTCGTGGAACAAGTTGTGGATGACCTTCCAGAGGGCGGAGGCGGTGGAGACAGAAGAGATGACCATATCTGAGACTTCATCGGTGATAGTGGAGAGGATCCAACCCTGGAGAAGAACATCGAGTTAGAACCATTCGTCGTCGTCATCAAAGAGGGGGACGACGGAACCGTCGACGTAGCCCTGAAGATTGAATCGCTTGACTAAGAGGAGGAACAGACGACTCCACTTCTTGTAATTAGGTTGAGAGAGGCTGAGTTGAACAGGAACGTGAAGTTTCACGTTGGAGACAGTTGTGAAAGCAAGATGTGGGGGTTTAGAGGAGAGATTTTGAGAGGTGACCTCGCTAACTTCGGCCATGGTAAGGGAAAGAGGAAGAGGAGGTTGCCGGTTGGGAGGGAGATCGGCGTCGCCGCTGGTTTGGCAGCCGCAGGAGGAGGCAGCGCAAGGAGGAGGGCGGCGGCGCGACTAGGCCGAGAGGGAGAGGAGGAGAAGAGGGGGACTAGGGTTTTGTATTTTTAGTCTCTGATACCATGTAGAGAGATTATTTTTCATTGGTTGAATATGTGGGAGTACATGTCTATATATACACAAGGATTCCTAATCCTATACAAGGTAGGAAACAATAATAGGAAACAATATATTTACATTAAATATAGAATATATATTTAACAAAAATAAAGTACACTTTGAATATTTTGAAAAGAATATTTTGTTTCTCTCAATTATTGAGATTTACGAAATTCTCAGTGTCTTAGAGCCTGTTTGGGAATAGCGTTAGGGATTTGCATTAACATTTTGGATAAAATTTTAACGATGCAGATTACTTTGAAAACACTAACGCTAAACGTTGGTCGTAGATAACTTTTTCAAAAATGTTGACGCTAATATCTAACATCCTAACCCTATTTTTAGCCAACTTCATTTTTTTGTGCTTTTGCACGTTGTTCAATGGAGTGCATGTGAAATAGTTAAAGTGGGGAACATGATTTTGACAATTTCTTCTGGTTGTGAATATTTTCAATAGGACCTCCCAACTTCCCAAGTCTGTCTGTTCTAACACTGTGTTTCTAGTTTGATAAAAAAATGTGTTTTTGAGTACGGAGAAAGTATGTAATTTGCCAATCTCTCTCTTGTAAGTTTTTGAGACAACCATTATTTATAGGATAGAAAAGTGATATGGTAAAGCACCTCCATTACTAGCATCTAATTACAATTTATAACCAAGAAATCGCTTTGGGTAGGAGTTTAACAAAATAGAGATCGCTTTGGGTAGGACTGTAGGAGTATACTGGTAGTATGATGTAAGAGTATGGATTGACAATGTGATAGAAAAACGATAATAGTGTAATATGTTACTGTGATTTGTCAATTGTCGATTGTTTGAGATGGCACTATAGTGGCCGGTGGCGATGAATAGCAGTATGACGATAATAGTGTAACATTTAAAATGTGACATTATCGTGAGTCTGACAGTGTAAACTTCTAGTTTGATCTTAAAAGACTTATGACTCATTTTTTTTATTTTATTACTCACTCTGTCCCAAAAAATCTTTCCTGTTTCATTTTTTGCGCATCCTATAAAACACTTCTACCGACATCTAAAATGCATAAAATTTATAACATTTCTTCTTTATTGTGGGTAGAAGTTATTTTGAAAGTTTTTTTGGCATTCAAGGCGGGATATAAGTGTTTTAAGAGATGCGGAAAAAATGAAACAAGAAAGACTTTTTGGGACGGAGGGAGAAATTTTTGCTCGGAGCTCTCCCTTTAATGATATGAATGGATGCATAGATGTAATTAAAACATTGTACTATCTTTTCGTTCCTAAAAGAGTCATAGTTTTACTTTTTTTATCAAACTATGACATCATTTAAGCACGAATTAGATATAGTTTAAATAGTTAAATATTAAAAAAATTTGATGTATCGAACCTAAATTTTTAAATATATCCAATTTTACTAAATTTAAATTATAACTAATTACATTTTTAATGTGCATAATTTATAGTTAAAAAGTATGTGTCACTGTTTGACTAAAAAGTTAAACCATGAAAATCTTTTAGAAACAATGGAAAGAGAGTAGAAGATTTATAGGATATGAAGGGAAAATCAATTGTTCAAACCTTTAAACACTATATATACATATGGTCAGAGCTTTAAAAATAAATACTCCCTTCGTCCCTTTAAGATGTTCTCATTTTGACTTTTGGTATTTTTTAAGGAGAGTTGAAAAAAAGTAAAAGTTTACCATAATACCCTTAATGAAAATGGGTGGAGTGTACTCCCTCCGTCCTAAAACTTTCTTCTCAGTTTGATTTTTCTTCATTTTTAATTTTTGGCTTTGACTTTTCTCCTAAAAATTGTTTTTGCAATCATTCAAAATATAGAGTTAGAAGATAATTGGTGTAAATACATGAGAGTATTAATGTCATTTGTCATCTTTTTTTCCTAATGGGAAGCTAGTTTTAGGACGGAGAAAAAGGGGAAGTGAGAAGAAAGTTTTAGGACGGAGGGAGTATTAAATAAGGTGGGTGAGATGTAATAAATAAAGTAAGTGAGGATAATTGTGGTATTTTAATTGTTAAGAAATGAAATGAAAAGATCTATTATGGATAAAGAAAAAGAGCTATTGAAAAGATATATGGGGGACGGAAGGAGTAAAAATTATAAACGGTTTTTTAAACAACCCCTAAGCTCTAAAAAAATAAAGAAACAAAATACTCTATATTGAATTCTTTTCAACACACATCCCACCTTTTTTACAGTATTAAAAGTTTTATTTAGTAATAATTTGTATGTTATTGAATTTATCTTTATATTAAATTGTTCTTAAAAAACAAATTTGCTATAAGTTCTTCTCGAATTTAATTCTCCTAAAGATAAATTAACACGGAGTATTATTTTTAGATATTTAATAATTAATATTTTCCAGAATATTTTATTCATCTATTATGTTTTAGAAAATCTAATTTTATTTTATAATATAGTACAAAGTATGATCTAACTATAGTTTTAATACATGATATTGAGTAGATAATCATGTTTGAAATACTATTTTTCTTTTGTATTTCGCTGGCCGTGTTTGGAAAACAGCATTTGCGATAGCTTTTGACATCTTTGACTGACTTTGGCTTTTTTGACCTAGCGAACCGCTAAAATCATTGTTTGGCTAATGGTTTTTTTTACTTGACATTTTGATCCGAAAAGCCAAAATCGGAAATGCCAAGGGGAGTACATTTGGACTTGGCGGTTAGGAAAAATATTTTTTTTGAAATCATTTTTGTTAAAAGATATTTTATAATATATGTAAAAAATAAAAATAAAATTTAAAAAATTAAATACTAAAAAATAAAATTTAAAATTTAAAAAAAAGAAATGAGAAAAAAAAGCAAAAATCATTAAAAAAATTTATATTTATAATTTATTATGAATTAAATGAAATTAAAATTTAATACTCCATATAGTAAAGATTTAATTTTTACATTTAAAAAAATGAAAAATAAATAAATATCGTGTGTGTGTGTATATATATATATAATATCGTTCAAACAGCTAATTTTCCAAATATTTTTAATGATCAGCCAATTAATTCTGATAGTCAAACCAGTTAAACTAAATAGTCATTCACAATAGCTCACACGAACTTTCAACAGCCAACAGCTGACAGCCAACATCCAAACAAGGCCGCTATCTATTTTAGCATGGTGACATTTCAAATTTGACATTTAATTTACACATAGGCTAGGGGTACATCAAAAGTATACTCCAAGGCTTGCTCACCACACAATTATAGTCTTGATCAAAAAATTAATTTGTGGATTATAGATCTAATCTAACTATGATCGTGTTTGAAAAATAATTTTTCGGATAGCTTTTGACATCTTTGACTGACTTTGATTTTTTTTACTAAGCGAACAACCAAAATCTTTGTTTGGCTAATGACTGTTTCACTTGGCATTTTAATCCTAAAAGCCAAAATATGAAAAGTCAAGGGAAGTAGCATTTTGACTTGGCTGTTAAGAAAATTATTTTTTTAAAATCATTTTTCTTGGAAGTTATTGTATAATATATGTAAAAAAATAAACATAAAAGTTAAAAAAATCTAAACTAAAATAAAATAAAATTTAAAATTTAAAAATTTTAAAAAAAAAGAGATGAAAAAATAAAAAGTAAAGATCATTAAAAAGTTGTATATGAATCATTTATTATGAAATAAATGAAAATAAAATGTAATCAGATCAGACCTGATTCAATTAGATCATACCAGATTAGATCAAATGGAATCAAATCAGACCAGATCATATCAAAAAATTAAATTGGATGGAACAGAGCCTTAATGTCTGTAATCCACATGCATCAAGTATATGTATTTGTATGTGTTTTCCTGATGTACAAATAAGGTAAATTATTTTGGTGTACAAAAAAAAGAGAGAAGAAAAAGAGGAAGTTTGACGGGGTTGGTAAACTTAAAATACACCGTATTGAATTCATAAATTGATAGGATGTACTGGATACCTACTCTGTAACCTACTCAAAACCCAGGCGACATAAAAGGAAAAATAAAAGGGGGAAAAAAAAGAAAGCAAGATAGAGAAAAAACAGTACGTAGATTTGGCTAATCGTCTCGCCGGAGCAGATCGCCGATGGAACACACGGTATGTCCGATCCGATCGATAGAAAATTCTTGAATATTTTATGCGTAATTGTGACGTTTCTGTATTTACTATATGAATTAAAAGGTTAAGAGATCTAAAACCGTAATGAATCAAATACTCCTGAATATAAGAGATCAGACGTTGAGCAGGATGGCTTTGATTCATTTCGATTTTAGATCTTAACCTTTTAATTCATATAGTAAAAGGAGCAGGATGGCTGATATATGAGATCAGCCGTTATATTCCTCCTGAATCCAAACATTCATAGTTGCCATCAGATCTAAGCTCAAAAAAGTATAATTAAGATATTAAATCTTGTGGGATCTGCGTACTGCGTCACCGGAAAGTTGAGGGAGAGAGATCGACGGGGAGGTGATGAGAGAGAGAGAGAGAGAGAGAGGAGAGGGATGTTTGTTGAGTTTATCGCACCAATGTCACTTTTAAGTTTGTTAAATGTACACTGTTACCTCCATGATTTCGAAACTTACATTATTGGTCTAAGTGGTTCTAATATTTCTATGTTAATGCCTATATAGAAAGTATCCTTCAAATATTAGAACATGTGCAGGAGTGTTCGAGAGGGGGGTGTGGTGGGGTGGGGAGAGGGAGATGCTTGTTGTGTTTATCGCACCCATGTCACCTAAAATTTGTTAAATGTAAACCGTTACCCCCCTATGACTTCGAAATATACATTGTTGGCCCATGTGGTTCTAATATTCCTATGTTAATGTTTATATACAAAGTATCCTTCAAATATTAGAACATGTGCAGGAGTGTTCGAGAGGGGGGTGTGGTGGGGTGGGGAGAGGGAGATGCTTGTTGTGTTCATCGCACCCATGTCACCTAAAATTCGTTAAATGTAAACCGTTACCCCCCTATGATTTCAAAATATACATTGTTGGTCCATGTGGTTCTAATATTCCTATGTTAATGTTTATATACAAAGTATCCTTCAAATATTGGAACATGTGTAGGGGCGCTCCAAAGTCTTCCACGCTTCTACGTCAAACAATACTTCTTTTCTTGCGTGGTGCATTTTTGTATGTTATTTTTCATTTTTCTTCTCTTTTTTTCACAAATGTAATTTAAGTTCTTTTTAAAACTTTTTTTATAAATGGTTTTAGTTATTTTTTGAAACTATTTTCTACTTTGTAATGTTTTAATAATTAATTTTTTTTGTGTTTGAAGTAAAAAAATTATTAAATAAAAAATCATTGAAATATTTTCATTATTTTGCTCTGAAGTTCATTTCATATTTTTTGGTATCTTTTTTCTCTCATCTTGATTTTTTTAATTTAATTTTATAAAATTTCTTTTATTTTCATAAAAATTAAAAATAAAAGTAAAAAGAATAAAAATTGGTATGAATATATAGTTAACCAAATATTAAAAAGAATTTACTTTGTATTCTTTTAGTCTCAGCAGATTTAAAAACTAAGAACTTTTATTAGACAGAAACGAAAATCTTTAATTTGAGAAAAAATGAATTGTATTTTAATTTTTTTTTATATTTCATTGTTATTTCAAACACAAGTAATTTACATTTTTAATTTTTTTATATTTCATGGAATTTGTAAAACCAAATTGAATTATTATAGTTTTGTAAAACTACTTTTCATTAATTCAACACAAACATTTTTTCTTCTTTTTAAGAAAAAAGGAAAAATAGTAAAGAAAAAAGAGAGAAGAGTGTTGGTGCACACTTCTCAAATTATAGGTGTGCAATAAACTCCATGGTTGCTTGTTAGGAGTACGGCGGTACATGTTTTAATGAGTAGTTTTCGTGTTATAATACTTTCACTAAAGTTTTTTTCCAGATTATTTATTTCAATTCAATGAAAATCTGTTGAAAAAGTGGATATACTTTGAATGCAAAAGATTATTTACCCCGTACATGTTTTTTGTTTAATTGAATGGACATGGGTAAATTTCATCAATGGTATCTGAACTTTAGCTGGAATTTCGAAGTGGTACCTAAACTTCAAATCCTTTCACAAAAATCTCTGAACTTACACAATCCTTTCACTAATGGTCCATATTATTATTATTATTATTATTATTATTATTTTTATTATTGATATTACTATTGATATTACTACTACTACTACTACTACTACTACTACTATGACTATTATTATTAGTACTAAAACAATTGTACGAAATTAGAAATTTTTACATGTAAATGCATATACAATGCATAAACAAAAATAATTTCATCCAAATTTATAATATAAAACCTCCTAAACAAGCACCACAATGACACTTTGTTATCCATATTTGTGTTTATATATTTTTTCAATTAGTTTTTATTTTTTATAATTTAATTTAATAATTTTTCTTGTCTTTTTAGTGGAGTGAAAAGAATATTAAATTAGAAAATAAAGTCTTTTTTCCAATTTTTTTAGATTATATTTCCTTTTTGAAAGAAATACTTTTTCCCCTTTTTCATATAAATCTAAGGTTGTGTTCCGTTCACGTGATCTGATCTGATCAAATCTCAATGGGATATCATTGATGTTCTGTTTATAAAATTTATTGTTTTTAGTCCTCCTCCTGTAAATCCCCTAGCACGTCTCATTCCCACCATCTCCAATGAGAGCATGTTTCATTTTATTGACTTTGTGGTCACTTTGGTCCACCAAAATGAAACGCGGTGCAATTGGAAAGGATGCAATACTCTCACTTTAAATGATATCAAAATTGGGAGTGTCAATTTAGGGCTGTCATTTTTAGCATTGCAAGATTTTCACTTTGTAAAAGTGAATATGATTAAGAATGTAATTTTTTTACTATTCAAAAGTAAAACAAATAACAATATCTAATATTCAATTTAGTTCACCAAAGAAATAATTTGAATTCAACTATAAAATAGCTAATATCCATATTTGAAATCATTAAACATAGAATGATAGAAATAATTAATTTTAGTAGAATTTCAAGTTACTACTTAGGGTTAAATCTAGTTACATCACCGAAGTCTTTGGGGGTGGTTGTAACAATAAACTTAGAAAAACAACTTTAACACCCGTCACATCAAATGTTCAAATGTTTAAACCTACCAAGTTTTTAAAAATTACTTTTATAACAAAAAACCCATAACTTCAACATAGTCCCACACAATATTAATTCATTTCTTAAAATTATCTATAAAGTTACTCTCTACATAAAATAAATTTAAAAATGGCTATTGATATATACACTCCAATTTTTACTAGATGCACTCCACTTTCTCTATTTTGGGTGGATATTGACCAAATTACCCATTCTAGCATTCTTTTACAATGTTAAATAGAAACATTCTATACGGAACAAATCATAAGTTTCCTGTTTTTATTTTTTTAAATGAATTGTAATCATTTAATATATTAATCATTTCGATACTGTATCTATTCCTCCTATTTTAATAAAATTTGAGTTAATTTATTTTAAGTATATAGAGTGAATTTCTATGTCATTTAATTATCTCTAATAAAATTTTTTTTAAAAATTATAATAGAATATTACCATGTACAATTTTATCACATTAATAAAGTGCATAGGACAAAGACCTTATGATTTAATGGCATTTGTCTCATATGGGAGGTCATACGTTCGAACCTAGTGGGGGCAATAACTCTACATGCTTAATGCGTATTGAAAATGTATTAATAGATATTACATGATAATAAAGTTATTAGTATTCAAAAAATAGAGTGCATTGTTATCACTCATCATTAGGTATGATAAAATACTGATTAAGTATAATAAAGGTACAATGAGATTTCTTTATAATTTATTAATAAATAGTTTTATAATTGTAGACTATGATTCAAAGAGGGAAAAAATAGGGAGTGCATGAAGTTTAATTAAATAAGGTGTTCATTATGTTACAATAAATTAAAGTGAATATATGGAATATTATGAAAGTAAGGGCAACTCGGTCAATATTTACCCAAAATTTTAAAAGTGAAGTGTAACTAGTAAAAGTTGGAGTACATATGTCAATATCCTTTAAAATATTATAAAGAGTGACCGGTAGGGAAATAAAAATAAATTTGAAGAGGTGAAATAATTTTTTGAAAAAAAAATTAGGAGTAAAATTTGAAGAAATAAATTTTTTTACTTGGTACGTATCTATAAGGAGCATCCAATTTAATTTAAGAAAAAAATAAAAAAGGTGGAAGAGTATGTTATAAAAATTGATGAAATGGTTGAGGTTGGTGGGATTCTTCCAAACCCAAAAATCCAACTCTCTAAATCTAATTCTGGAATTGGTCAAAAATAGTTTTTGAAGTTTGAACCTACTCTTAGATCGAGACACCACCCTCGGTGTCAAGAGGCATGAAACACAAGTGGGTAAAGAGTGTGAAAAGCACATACGAATCACTTCAAGCACAAAGGTGGGTGGGAGGGAATCAATGCAACTCAACTTAAAACATAGAATTAAGCTAGGGGTACACCAACATGGGGTACTCCAAGTGTACACCAAAGCTCCAAGTGTACACCAAAGCTCCAAGTGTACACCAAAGCCAACACAACACAGACACACACGGACACAAAGTGTCTGTGTTGCACAGACATTTTGTGTCTGTGTGTGTCTGTGTTGGCTTGGTGTATACTTGGGGTACCCCATGTTGGTGTACCCCTAGCATTGCCCTAAAACATAACATGACAATAACTAGACATGAAGCACATCCCAACTCAATTCTCACAAGCACAAAATAATACTCTTTCACACACATGCAAAGAAAACGTCAGGGCGTCCCCAAACACAAACTAAGCATAGAGTAAAAAGGGTAGAGAAAAGCAAACTCCGTAAGCATATGAGAACGAGTGGAAAGTTTGTATTGTTGTCATGATCCATGAAGTTAAGAGTGATGTTCATCATCAACCATTCAACCCCTTAAGCCTTAAAAGACAAAATATGATCTTCCAAAGTGACCCTCATAGTCAAATTCTCCCAACTTCTCTTATTTAGCCCCGCACCTATATCCAAACAAAACAATCCACAAAGAGAAGCTCAAAGTAGAAA